TTGCCACTAGGGTGTTCATGGCCCTGCCCTGACTTCTGGGCTGTGCAGGTGGGCCCCTGGATGGATCCGCAGGGCCTCATGCCTCAGCGAGAACCGGCAGCCTGGGCAGGAGGCATGTGACTTGCTAATGGCTGTGAGGGCCTAGGTCAGAGGCCGTAGGTCAGAAGCAGTGGCAGCCAGTGCTGGGCCACTTGGGTGCCATCGAGGCAAGGCCCAGACCCAGACCTGAAACACAGGAAAGGACTCAGGCGAGTGTGGATGGATGGTCGCGGGTGGGGGTACCGACAAGGAGCCTTAAAAGAATGGAGTTGCGGGAGGCCGGGGCTTCCCAAGGCCGTGTTGTCTGTGCTGGACCATGGCAGGGAGCAGGCGTGAGCCCTGAAGCAGGCGTACGTGCAGGACCCCGCTGCAGCCACTCGTGCTCTGGGGAGCAGCAGGAGATGTGGCAGATGGAGGAGCTTGGGCTGAGTGGGGAGGGCCGGATAGGTGGGGGGAGCCCTGGGAGGGGGCGGAAAGCTAGAGGGGGCAGCAGTGCAGCCGCACCAAGCCCTGCACCTTGTTGCTTTGCCTGCCTGGCCCACCTCCCCTACAGCCAGCACGCGGGACACTGATGGTGGCAGCTCATCCAGGCAGGTAGCAAAGGGCCCCTGGGCCTCAGCCTCTGCCCCGCCAGCCCTCTTTGCCTCCCCGGACCCTCACAGTGCTGCTCCGCCTGTGCAGGGGCAACGAGTGTGGCCTCCTCACCTGGCACCCTTTTAGGCTCGGCCAGGAGAATTTGGGCCCAGATGCAGGGAGGACCCCTTCCTCAACAGTGCCCCCAGAGAGCCAAGTAAACCCAGGTATGAAACAGGCAGGTGCTAGCCCATGGCTGCTGCCCCTGAGCCCGCAGCCAGCCCTCTCCCTCCTGCACCTGGGTACCTGGGCCTGCCCTGCACCCACCTGGCCCTGCGGGCGGCAGGCAGCTCCCAGGCCTGTCTTCTAGGAGAGGTGAATCACGTTCACTTGCCTTGCTGTGAGCCGACTGCGTCTATAATTAGAAGGTGCTTGTCTTCCTGCCTGAACAGAGGAGGAGCTGCAAGGAGGCAGCCTGGGTGCTAGTCTGACCCCACTCTCCCCAGAAGGGCTGCTGCAGCGTCCAGGCCGGCCTGCCCCAGCCGACTGGGGGCAGAGCTGCGGTCCCCATGGGCTTCATCCTCTGGCCCTACAGAAGCTGGTGCTCTATCCTCCCCACCCCTGGGCTGGACTCAGGAGGCTTCTGGAGCTCTCCGCTGAGTGTCTGTGACCACAGCGTGCAAACGGGTCTGGATGCGTCAGAAGTGGCTGAGGCAGGAGAGAGCTCCCTGTGCTTCCTGCTCCTATTTTCATCTGGAAAACCTTGAAAAACCTCAGTCCCTGGCTGTACCCCAGGACACTTAAATCAGAATTATTGGAGTGGGAGGTGGGCAAAGTGGTTTCTTTAAAACTCCCCAGGTGATTCTGGTGTGCAGCCAGAGCTGAGCGGCACTGACCCAGGGGAAGCTGGCTCTCCTCACCTGCAGGCTGAACCCCTCAAAGGGACTAGCTCCGGTGAGGACCCGGGCCTGACCCAGCAGCCTCGGCTAGAACTCCGGGGCCTGCATTTTAACAACCGACCAGGTGATGGCGCTGCTGGTCCAGGCTGCACTCAGAACAGCGAAGCTTTAGGAGAGGATCTTAAACCCCGAGAACCGGTGAGTTCTGACTCGGAGAAGAGACACTACTGACAGATTTCTGGGGATTCTGACGCTGTGGCTCTGGCCATGCACCTGCTTTAGAGCATTCGCGAGGGTCTGGTTCTCTGGGGGCCTCCGAGGTCAGTGTGTCTAGAATAATCCAGCGCTTCTGTGTCCTGGGCACCCACATGGCCTGGGGCGGGGCGTGCGGAGCAGGCACAGCTGTGGGAGTCGGGTCCTCAGTGGGGAGGTGATTCCACGTCTAGTGAGCAGCTCTGTACACAGTGGGCTCATTTAATCCTCCCAGCAAATCTCTGAAGGAGCGCTCCCTGTGCCCATTTTACAGATGAAATTCAGGCTCCAAGAGGTTGAGGATTCTGATGAAGCTACAGGTGGCTGAGCCAGGCTCAGACTCAGGCCTCCCTGCCTGCCTTTCCTGCCATCCTGGCACTGCTGCAGTCTAGCTGTGTGACCTGGGGCAGTTACTTAGCCTCTTGGTGCCTTGTCCTCCTCTGCAGCCTACAGAGAATAACAGTTTCTCTCATGGGTTATTGTGAGGGTTAAGGAGATTATCCGGCTCTAGCATTAGTGTCGCTGGTGGTGCGTACAAGGTGCTCAGGGTCTCAGCTGCTGTTTTCTTATTGTGATTGCCTTTGCTGTGTGTTCGCTCCCAAGATGTGAGCCCAGATTTCCTGGGAGCTCTGCTCTGAGTGGCCAGAGAAGGGGACCAGTTAGTGGTGATGGACACACAGGTGTGTGGCTAGAAGTCACAGTTCCTTTTCTTGCTGGGATGGGAGAGGAGGACCCCACGTGCAAAGACAGAAGGGACCACAGTGCTAAGAGGGGCGGCCGCAGAGGTGCCAGGCATAGGGCTCAGCGGGAGTCACCTCATTTAACAGCTGTGGAAATTGAGGCTGGATAGACTTGTCCAGAAACAAGGAGCTAGTCTGTTGCAGAGATTCAAACCTGAGGGTGCTCTAAATTCCTGCCCAGGACACCCCACTCCGGGAACCTCCTCCTCCCACTTGGCCCTGAGCCTCAAGACACTCCCTGCAGTGCTCATGACTGGGAGGGGTGGGCTCTACCAGGGACTGAAGTGAGGGGCAAGGAAGGGGCTCTGGGGGTTCCCCAGGACCCCAGGGACTCAGTGCACAGAGGAGGAGGGAGAGGAGTGATATGTGGGCAGGATACCTGTTCAGAGAGACAAAGCCCCAGCCAGCATCCCTGGGTGGGTCCTGGGGCAGGGGAGATGCTGGGGTGGTCCTGCATGGCCCTAGTGGGGTCTGCCCATTCCCCGAGGGGGTTCTGGGCTCCTGCCTTGAAGCCCACCCTCACAGGTGACCCGCTATATGGTGGTTGTGCTTCTGTACACAGGCCCAGCCCTGGGGCTCCTGCTTCTTCACTGTGCTTTTATATAGAAACATGCTGATTTAAGAACAGCCTGTTTGCACTAAAAAACAGTTATTTAAAAAATGACAAGATAGAACCACCGCAGGGCTTGTTAAAGCACAGGTGGTGGGCCTGCTGGAGTTTCTCACAGGCTTCTGACACTGTGGGGCCTGAGAGTGTGCAGACGGGAGTGTTCTGTGAGTCCGAACCTGCATCCTGGAGTGAGGGCAGCAGAGCCTGGGTCCACAGACATTCCAACTCCAGCCTTGTCCTGGGGAATTCCTTTGAGCTCCTTCCTCTTTACAAAGGGTTTTCCGAGGATTCCAAGGCGACCTTCAGGTGTTTGGCAGGGAAACCAGCGTTGTTTGGCTGGGTGCCCTTTTCCTCTGGTGTGCGGCTCCGTTGATGTGCTGTGGGTGGGAGTCAGCCCTGCTTGTGCAGCCTGGGGCCCTCTCATGGCAGTGAAATCATCATGGCTACCATTTGCTCTTCTGCGCAGTGGGGAAACTGAGGCCAGAATGCTCAGAGGCTTGCCCTGGTCCTGGTCAGAGAGCAGGCTGGCCTGGGGGCAGTGGCATCAACGGCAAGGCCAGCACTGAGGGCTTTGGGGTCCTCGGAGGACATATACACTTTCTAACTCCCCAGGCATGAGGAGGCAGCCCTCCTCCTAAGAGGGAGGGCAGCATGGTTCCCTGGGGAGGCAGGTGCTGGGGCTGTGGGACCTGCTGGCCAGTGACCTGAGAGGGCACAGCCTGGCTGTGGCCCCCGCCAAGGCAGGAAGGCCCAGCGCCTCCACTCCGACCTCAGCCCGGCTGCCCTCCAGGGCTGGGACTAGCTGAGCAAGTGGGGCCTCTGCTGGCAAATGGGCATCATGCTGACCCTCCGGGCGGCCGGCCGCCTCAGGCGATGGGAGTCCCCGAGGGCTGCAGGCTCTCCTGGGCCTCAGGAAAGCTCCCAGGAGAGGCCTGCTGCAGCGAGAGTGGGAGACCTCAGCCCCCGCCACACTGGGCCAGGACAGTGTGCGTGCCCCCACCGTGGGAGCAGCAGGCCCCAGACTGCTGCCCGAGATCTGTGGCTAATAGGCATTTCAAATTTAATGTGTCCAAAAGCAAGTTCCAGATCTTTCCCCAAAGCCCACCCTAATGCTCTTCCCCACACTGGGCAGGCTCTCGGGCCAGAGCCATGCTTCACAGAGTTCAGTTGATCCTGCTCCCCTCCCCCTCTGCTACCACCTGACCTGAGCAGTCTCTCCTTGGTTTTCAGATCCCTCTCTTGCTGGGTCTGCACATGACAGCCATGGTGACCTTCGCCCTAAGTCAGGTTGCTCCTGCGCTCTGAGCCCCCATGCATTCTGTCTCAGTTGGAGAAACAGCATGCCTCACCCAGGGCCCCGGTGTGCATGGCCTGGCCCATTACTCCTCAGACCAATTTCTCTCCTTATCCCCTCCACGCACACTGGCCTCAGGACCTTGGCACCTGCTGTTCCTTATGCCTAGAACTTTTCTTTCTTATCCCAGGAAGCTGCACAGCTAACACCATCAGTCTGTCCCAAAGCCACCCACCTGAGGCTGCCTTGACCACCACCCTCATGCTCTGTGTATTCCTCCTGGGCGTTGTTTTTCTCTGTAGCTTCTCTTCTTCCCCTGGGATATCCCCCTAGGAGGCAGGGCCCTGTGTGTCCAGGCCCATGGACTGAGGCCTGGTATGCATGGAGCAGGTGCTGAAGAATCATTTATGAGACACCTGGTGGCTGCGGGCCACTGAGGGGCCCGCCTGCCCACCTGAGCTATCTAATGATGCCCCTGCAGGCCCTCAGGGGCTCTCACCATGCATTTGTACCCACGCCAGCTGCAGGCTGGCCTGGAGGAGGGCCTGGTGGAGGCGCCTTTGATGCCTCATGGCCTCGTTCTTCTCTCTCAGGAAACTATGCCCCAGACATCCGTCGTCTTCTCCAGCATCCTCGGGCCCAGCTGTAGCGGACAGGGGCAGCCCAGCATGGGGGAGCGAGGAGGCGGGGCCAGCGGCTCCGGGGACCTCATCTTTCAAGATGGTCGCCTCATCTCCGGGTCGCTGGAGGCCTTGATGGAGCACCTGGTCCCCACGGTGGACTATTACCCTGATGTGAGTGCCTGGAGCCTGGAGAGGGGTGTGACTGGTGGGAGCGACCTGGGCTCCAGGAGAGGCTGCTTCTGGGACAGGGAGGGAGGCCCAGATGGAGCAGGAGGGGGCAGCAGGGGAGGGCAGGGCAGCAAGGAGCCCCAGCCCCACCTCCTGTGCCTCCCTTGCCTCCTACCCTGCTCCCCGCCCCAGCCTAGGTGAGAGGAACCTGCAGTGACTTCCCTGCTGCTCCCAGGCAGGTGGGAGATGGCCCTGGTGGCACAAGGAAGCAGACACATGAGGGACCAGAGCAGGAGTCTGAGTTCTCCTGGGGGAGAAACAGGAGTCTCAAGAGCAAGGCCAGCACCTCGGGGTCCTGGTGAGGGGCCACCCAGCACGTGTCCTGTGTCTCAACTGGTAACCTCCATAGTCCAGAACCAGAGGGGACAGCTTTGCTGGCATGCAGATCCCAGGGCACATGCCCGCAGGCAGGGCTGGCCTTCAACAACAATCCACATCCTCCATTGTCACCTCAGGATGGCACTGGTACATACTTAGAACAGAGAGAAAGAGTTCCCTTGTCATGTGTGGCTTCCCTAATGCCTCCATAGGTGACAGATGACGTCTCTTAGCAGCAGTGGTGTTGGGCTTGCTTGTTCCCTCTGCAGAGTTGAGCTGCGCCAGCCTCCTCCCGGTGTCCCCTCCCTCCTGAGGGCAGAGCTGTGAGGTATTGTCCCCCTCCACCCTCCAGCTTTTATCTGATGGTGCTGGAGTCAACTCAGCTCCTAGGGTTCCTGGCCTACCCCACATGTCAGGCTGCCTCCCTTCCTCCTAGGGCTCTGTCTATCTTTTGTCTGTCCTCGCATCCATCCCGTAAACTCTCTCAGGGCCTGGCGGGGGCTGGTGTTGGTGGTGTAGACATGGCAGCTGAGGGCCCAGGTGGCAGAGCCAGGAAGAGGGGACCCGAGGCCCTGAAGAAGCCCAGGGAAGGGTCCTCCCGCCCCAGTGCTGGTCTTGGGGCAGTGACCTTGTGGGAGGAGCCTCCTCTCTTTTTTTTATTTTTAAAGATTTTATTTTTCCTTTTTCTCCCAAAGCTCCAGGTACATAGTTGTGTATTTTTAGTTGTGAGTCCTTCTAGTTGTGGCATGTGGCATGCCGCCTCAGCATGGCCTAAGGAGCGGTGCCATGTCCACGCCCAGGATTCGAACTGGCCAAACCTGGGCCACCGAAGCAGAGCACACGAACTTAACCACTTGGCCATGGGGCCGGCCCCCTTTTGTTTTTGTTTTGTTTTTAAAGATTTTATCTTTCCTAAAACCAAGGACATTTTTTTTTCTTTTTTTGAGGAAGATTAGCCTGGAGCTAACATCTGCTGCCAATCCTCCTCTTTTTGCTGAGGAAGACTGGCCCTGAGCTAACATCTGTGCCCATCTTCCTCCACTTTATATGTGGGACGCCTACAACAGCGTGGCTTGCCATGCGGTGCCATGTCCGCACCTGGAATCCAAACGGGCGAACCCCGGGCCTCCAAAGCAGAATGTGTGCACTTAACCACTGAGCCACTGGGCCGGCTGAGCCTCTTTTAGGTGTGTCCCAGAGTGGTCTCCTTAGCCAACTGTCACACAGTGTCACCCCCAAAGCACTGTGCCCTGGGATCGTGCTTCCCAGGAGAGAACAAAGGGGTGGCGGGGGCAGAAAGGGGGAGCCCAGAGAGTCCAGCTGGGCGTCGGCTCCTCCGCCAGCTCCTGGGTTTCCTGCCCTCCCTCACTGCCCTGCCCTGCATACGTGGGCAGCCGGGGACACAGGTCAGTCTCCATGCTTCTCCTGGGAAACACATGGCTCCTCTCTGGATTTTCTTCTTGCCTTTGGCTAACAACTCCAAGGTGTGACACCTGGGTGCCTTTCCTCACAGGGTTGAACCATTTGCTAGAAAGGGGACCACAGACCAGATGGGACCCCTGAGCGCCTGTGCTGCACAGTCTGGGGATAGGGCATGGGAAGTTTGGGGGTGGTTAGAGGAACCCCTGCTGTGCGAGGGAGAGCCTCCCCCTCTGTCCTCTGAGTGCTTCATGGGGGTAGTGAGGACCTGAGGCCCTGAGGCCTGTCCCATGAGGCCTGTGCTCCCAGCAAACACAGCCCAGCTTGCTTTGGGCTGCAGCAAGGAACACGTGCTCCTTTGGGCCTGGAAAGGGAGTGGAGGGTCCTGAGCCCCAGCCTGCAGCAGCCATGTGGGAGCAGAGTCCCCGGGAGAGCCCCAAGCAGCCTCCCCAACCCCCACGTCTGCCCCGTCTGCAGGCAGGGCCCAATGTGGAGATCCCACAGGCACTGACCCCCACCCGACGAGAGCCTTTGGAGAACCCTCGGCCCTGGGCCCTGCTCTCTGCCACCTTTCAGTCCAGATCATGAGGACGCCTCAGAGCCTGCACCACACAGCCCGGTGACGAGGGGTGTGTTGACCTGGGACAGAGGGGCCCTGGTGTGGCAGGTGGGGACAAGGCCCACAGCCTGGTAGCAACTGCATGGGGGCTTGCAACAGGGGCTGAGGAGGCCCTGCCCTGCCCCCTGGATGAGGCCCCACCCCGCTGGCCCTGGGCAAAGCCAGTGAGGATCTGGAGAAGCAGCGGGCTTGGAGCCCGACCCGGGGAGCACCCCTGCCCCAGTTGGGTTGGGCAACAGGCTCACACAGGTCCAGAGTTCCACCAACATCCAAGACTGGGTTCAATTCCCATCATGGGGTAGGACCGAGGGCAGGGGAGAATCCTAGCAGAATAAGACTGCCGGGAGCCAAGCCTGTCAGGGGAGGCCTCTGAGAGGTGCTGCGAAGTGGGGTTTGATCTGTGCCTTGCAAGGTGGACAGGATTTGGGTAGCAGTGAGAAGGAAGGGCATTCAAGGTGATGTAAACCATGCAGGAGAAGGCATGGCCGCTGGATGGTGATGTTGGGCTGGGAGGCGGTTGGACCAGGTCGAGGAGAGGCTGTGACCACACCTGGGGGGCCACGCCAAGCCTGACCCAATCTTCACCCTCTCTCCCTGTCTCTTTCCTTCAGAGGACATACATCTTTACGTTTCTCTTGAGCTCCCGGGTCTTCATCCCCCCTCATGACCTGCTGGCCCGCGTAGGGCAGATCTGCCTGGAGCAGAGGCAGCAGCTGGAGGCCGTGTCGGAGAAGGTAAAATCTGCTGATGGGAAGCTGCCCGTCTCTCTGCCCCTTGCTACTCCTCTGGCTCACGCTAGGGAGAGAAGCATGGTCAGAGTAAGCTGGCAGGACAGGTTCTGGCTGAGTCCACCCTGGGTCCCTCCCTGATGGGGGCAGGTTGGCTTACCTCTGGCCTCCTGGCACACCTGTGGTGTGGCTCCCCAGGGTCCAGAGGAGGGCTGCACTCAGAGCTGAGCACACCTCCCAGGAGGTGGGAAGTAACTGCTGTCGGTGGGCACTCCCCCTACCCCCTCTCGCAGACAGCTCTGCCAGCTCTCCTGGTCAGTGCTAGGACACCCAAAATGGAAGGTCTGGCTATAGCTGGTAGAAAAGCAGCCAGTGGGGCCTGGGTCATTGCCCCTCTAAGCCGGGTCGGGTGGCAGCACCCTCAGGCTGGTGCCTACTCAATAGGAGTTTTCAGTGACTCAAATAGGGCTGTTTGCTACTGCTGTCTCTTCTGATTGAGCCAGGCTTTGGGCAGTCAGGATGGTCAGGAAGCCACTGCTGTCTCTCAGGCCCTGGGAGCAGGGACGTGGGGTGAGGCTTTTAGAAGCCTGGGGTCTGGTGCAGAAGAAGGTGTGGTGGGTATGCTGTCAAAGAGCTGGCAGGGCCTAGTCTGGGTTGCAGCAGAGCAGGGCCTGTCCTGGTTTGCTGATGACCCTCCCCTCCACGTCCCCTCCACAAGGCCGCCTGTTCCAGCAAAGGCCTGTGAACGCCTGACCCCCCCCTCAGAGTCTCCTCTCCAGAGGGGCCCTGACCTGGGGTGCCACTGGGCAGGGACAGAGACAGACGCTGTCCACAGCCTGGGGGTCAGGAAGGGGTCCTGAAGGGACAGGTGGAAATAAGCCAGAGCAGGGTGAGTTGGGGGATGAAATTCTAGGCCAAGGGTCAGTGTGGGGACAGTAGAAGCCTGAGAGGAGCCTGGGGTGAGCAGCCATCCTCTGTCCCATGGTGACAGGCAGGGCAGGGCCTCTGAGGAGGGAATTCTGGGTTCCGGCTTCTGCTCAATGTGGGGTGCTGTAGCATCTGGGGGAAGTGTCAGCAGGGCCCCTGGGAATGCCAGGTGTATGGAACTCTGGCAAGGAGGAGTGGCTGCAGGGAGGAGGGGGCCAGCTGGGAGAGACTCTACCAGGCTGGGAAGCCAACACTAAAGGACGGGCTGGGAGCGTGGGGCATGGCTAGGGCTGGGGGCGTGGCCGGGGTGAGGAGAGCATCAGGTGGGTTGGTGGCAGCAGCGTGGGCAGACGGGGGTGGGAAGATGCAGGGTGGAGTGTTGGGTGGTGTGGGAGCCGGGTCCTGAGGGCCGAGGCCGCCCCCAGGAGCCAGGGCAGTCGAAGTCGGGCAGGTACGGGCCGGCAGGGGGCTGGTCAGGGCCAGGGAGGAGCCTCGGCGGGCACAGGAGAGGTTTGGGCCCACGTGGGCGTTTGGCAGGACAGTGCGGGCTGGGCACTGAGCGTCCGGCTCCCCCTCCGCGGGCTGTACGCGTGTGTGTGGACCTAGGGCGACAGCAGGGGGCCCGGACCGCCTACCGTGACACGAAGTTGGGAGGAGGTCACCTCCAGTCGGCACCACTTCCCAGCACTTGCCAACCTGCCTGTAACCGAGAGGGGGCAGGCGAGAGACTCGTTTAATGTTAGTGATTTTGCTTGCTTTTTATTGTGTTCTTTTTTGTGGGTAACTTATAATTACAGCAAATGAAATTAGTTTTCTATGTCATGGTAGTGATAAGTTTTTTGAAAATGAATTTATTTATGTGACAAAGAGAGCTGCCTTAAGGGGAATATGAAACAAAGCAGGTATGATAAAACTGCAGGTGGACTGGGTGGGTCACGTCTCTTCCCAGGGACCCAGCTTGGGGCGGGGGTCGCAGGTCCTGCAGGGAGATGGGTGGGGGATGTTACAGACCGGGGCAGGGGTGGGGGACTTGAACCACTTGTCATCTTGTCGCCCACTCTGGAGGGTCAGACCTCACTCTGTCCCCCACTTCCCCAGGCCAAGCTGAAGTCTTTCTCAGCCAAGATCGTGCAGCTGCTAAAGGAGTGGACAGAGGCCTTCCCCTATGACTTCCAGGATGAGAAGGCCATGGTGGAACTGAAGGCCATCACCCACCGGGTCACGCAGTGTGACGAGGTGAGGTCCTCCCTCCTTGAACCCTGGCAGAACTCCCTGGGTCTATGTCCAAGGAGGGTCTACTCTCACAGGAGAGTGAGTCTTCAGGGACAGCTTTGCTGTCACTCCCCCAAGAGGAGTGCTGCGTGGCTCCATTTTGCCCCTCCAAACCCCCCAAGAAAACAGTTCAGCTGGCCAGCAACAGGCCAGACTGGCCCTGGGCACCCTCTGCAAGTGGGAGACCCTGTGGCCCGAGTGGTGGGCTAGAATGAGCCCAGGCCCCACCCTCTCCTAGCCTTTGGGTGGGTGGAGTGTGGGCATAGTTAAGAAGTTGTAAGAGCCTGTCTGCCTTTTTATGGCTCCCAGCTGGCTCTTGGCCTGCAGAGGAGACAGGAAACCTGGAGAGCCGAGAGGGAGCCTGGGCTGGCTGGGCCTCGATGATGGAAGTGCTCTGTGTGCTCAGCAGCTTCTGTCTGCCCAGAGGTCTCAGAAAGCCTAGGGAGAGCTTGGGAGCAGGGCTGCCCCTACCCACGGAGCGAAGGATCTTTGTCCCAGAGAAAGCCCTTCTGGATGCTGTCATCCTACTGTGGGAAGGCCACAAGAAGTACCTCAGTTGGCTATTACTGGGAAAGCCGTGCTTCTCAGACCCGAAAGCCTACCCCTGGCCCTCAGCTCTCTTCCCCACAGGACAGCTAGCTGAGCCCACCCTCCCCAGAGGTCCTCAGAGAGCCCCACACTACCCCTCTGTGTCATCAAAGGCCTAAGCACCCATGGCAGGGTTACATAGGGGATGTGGGTTCAAAGTTAGGCCCATCCCTGGAGATGAGATGGGTCCCTCTGGAGAAGTAGTGGTGTTACTGCCAGCCCACGCCGGCACCTTCATCACCCCCTGTCCCCTGCAGGAGAATGGCACAGTGAAGAAGGCCATCGCCCAAATGACGCAGAGCCTGCTGCTGTCGCTGGCTGCCCGAAGCCAGCTTCAGGAGCTGCGGGAGAAGCTCCGCTCACCGGCCATGGACAAAGGGCCTATCCTCAAGGCCAAGCCGCCAGCTGCTCAGAAGGACATCCTGGGCGTGTGCTGTGACCCCTTGGTGCTGGCCCAGCAGCTGACTCATATTGAACTGGTCAGTGCTGCAGTGCCCCCTTCCCAGGATGGGGCTGGTGGTGCACTCACTGATGCTGTGGGCCACTGGACCCTGGGCATGTTTCTCAACATAGTGCTGCATGGTGTGTCCCCTGCCAGTCAGACTGGGGTGTCAGGTGAAGCCCACTTGCTAGCTCCAACCACTGCCTCTGGCAGGTGTCCACTTGAGCAATGTGTTTCTCTGTGCCTGGGTCCCCAGGATCAAGGCAGTGCTATGTTAATGGGAGGAGCTGGGGCAACGGGGACCACAGAGGTCCCAGGATAGAGGACCAGCCTGGGAGGAGGTGACGGGCTTTGAGAGGGAGAGCCACTTTCTCTGCCCCGTCACCTCATCCTGCCCGTGTCCTGTGCTGGGAAGTTACCCTGCACATAGCAGCCATTGCTCCAAGGCTTCCCCCTCACTCCCACACAGTCCTGTTTCCTCCCTTCCCAGGGGAGGGCCTTCTAGACCCTAAGGTACATTTGGGTGGGGCCTGGGCAAGGCCTGCCCCCTGGCTTGGTGCCCTATCAAGGAGCAGCTGTGGTGCATGCCTGCAGGGAGGTCCTAAGTGCTGCGCTGAACATGCCCTACCCCCCCGAGTATGGGGCCTGCCTGAGGATGGCAGGCTTGTCACCCCTCCTGTGCTCTCTCCCCACTTACCCCAGGAGAGGGTCAGCAGCATTCACCCTGAGGACCTGATGCAGATTGTCAGCCACATGGACTCTCGGGACAAGCACAGGGTGAGGGGCTGCACTGTGCTCTGGGGTGACCTGAGGGTGGGCCTGGCACCTATACCCCATGCAGAGTGGGTGGGGGCCTCATCTAGCACACCTGAGCGCCCCCAGAGTGTCAGGCCCGCAACCTGATGGACATGGATCTGGCCTCCTGGTGCCTGCTTCAGGGGGTCAGTGGACAGCCACGCAGGGTGATGCCTGCTGGGAGGGGGCCCAGTGTTCCCAGGGGCCTGGGGAGCCAGCCTGACCTCTAAGCCTAGCCCTGGGGGACCAGGGGGGCAGTCATCCTGGGAAACTTGGGCCAGCCAAGGGCATCTGTCTAGCTGCCCCCACCCCATCTCCTCCTCTGGCCACGGGTCCTGCTCCTTGGTTCTGGGGTTAGGGCTGGGAGAGCACTTGCCGACAGGGTCCTTGGTCTCCCTGTGACCTGCTGTGTCCCCCTAGTGCCGAGGGGACCTGACCAAGACCTACAGCCTGGAGGCCTATGACAACTGGTTCAACTGCCTCAGCATGCTAGTGGCCACCGAGGTGTGTCGGGTAAGCGCTGCATGGTAGGCACGGTGGAGAGGTGCTCTCTCCTCCCCGACCCCGCAGTGCTCCCCAAGGCTCCAATTCCTGCCCCCCTTGGATGACTTTGACAGTGGAGACAGGAAGTCTCCATTGCCAGGGCCTTGGAGGTGCCACCCTCCCCCGCCATGCCCCGTCCAACATTGATGCCTTAAATTACAACAGAGACCCATCCGTGGAGTGCACCTTGTGCCTAGCGCAGGCTGCGAGCTCATTCAGGGCTCCCTTGGTCCTCTCAGCCCGCCCTCCTGCCCCTCTACCCAGCACTGAAAATGCCACAGCTGCGTTTCCTGCCTCTGCAGCCAGTGAGCATTCCCCCACCCTGGGTCTGCCAGCTCGGTGGGCACAGGGCAGCTCCTGTCCAGGCTGCCCTTCAGGGACTGGTGCTGGAGGGGACAGCCCCCTGGTGGGGCTCACACCGGGTCTGACCACCCTCTAGGTGGTGAAGAAGAAGCACCGGACCCGCATGCTGGAGTTCTTCATTGACGTGGCCCGGGAGTGTTTCAACATCGGGAACTTCAACTCCATGATGGCCATCATCTGTGAGTGTCTGGGCCCCAGGGGCTTCCCATGCAGCTTCTGCATGGCCTGCCTCCCTAGCCCTGACCCTACCTGCTGTCCCCTGCAGCTGGCATGAACCTCAGTCCTGTGGCGAGGCTGAAGAAAACGTGGTCCAAAGTCAAGACTGCCAAGTTTGATGTCTTGGAGGTAGGTACCCCAAGCCTCATCCTGCACTGGCCTGAGGAGGAGGGTGGGCCTCCCATCATGCTCAGCCCCCTTACTCAGGATCTGTCACTCACAGTTCAGTCTGGTGTTGGGCAGCCCTCAGGAGGCAGGTAGCTTCAGCTCTCCTCGGCCTTTCATCACCTAGAGCAAGTTCTGGGGAGGGGTTAGTAAAGAGTCGGCTAAAGTGGGCCATGAGCCTCCCATTGGGCGATGCTGACTAAGCAGAGATGGGCCTTCTCCTGGCCCGACTTCCCGTGGTGCTGGATTATCTGAGTGGCCCAGGGGCTGACAGGTATGTTTACGCCAGATGCATTTGATTGTAGAATCCACTTTTTGCCCAAATGTATGTCTTGGAGCTGTTCAGGTTTGGGAGGTGTCACTCTAAGTAAAGGGGCAAAGGAAGGTTTCAAAATGCAGGAGGTGAGACCCAGGCTCTGCAGGGCAGAGAAGAGGTGTGAGTGAGCTGTGAGACTTCTCTACAGCTTTCCTGAGGCACTCCAACCCAAATCTGGAAGGTCCTGGACTGGTGCTCAGCCAGGTGCCTCTGGGCCCTATGCTCACTCCTGGAGAGGAGGCCTCTTCTGGTGACAGTCTGAGACCTCCCAGAGGGGAAGTACCTTCCCCATCAGCTGTTTCCTGCTTTGCAAAGGGGCATCCTGAGCAGTTCTGAGAGGCACAGGGGGAGCGCGGCCCACCACATTCTCCCATCTGCCCACAGCATCATATGGACCCATCCAGCAACTTCTGCAACTACCGCACAGCCCTGCAGGGGGCCACGCAGAGGTCCCAGATGGCCAACAGCAGCCGAGAGAAGATTGTCATCCCTGTGTTCAACCTTTTCGTTAAGGACATCTATTTCCTGCACAAAATCCACACCAACCACCTGCCCAATGGGCACATCAACTTCAAGGTGAGTTCAGCCCTTGTGGTCTGAGGGGAGGGACCAGGGTGTCCCAGCACAGGGTGGGCAGACCACCCGGTCTTGCCTCAGGGCAGGCAGAATCTGTGAGAGCTGCAAGGCAGCAGCCCTGTGGCAGGAGGGCCTTTAGGACTGAAAGCTCCAGGGTCGGTCATGGGTGCCGTCTGAGGGGTGAGGGTAGCCTCAGCCCTTCTGGGTGGGTGATCTGGTTACAGAGCTGGTAACCCAGGGAACCTGTATTTACCCAGGACCCTGGTCCCAGTGCTGACCCCACTAGTTACACAGAAAAGCGGCACCCCTCGGGGGTTTGGGGGTCAGAAAGGCTTGAGGCAAGAAGGCACACGGGCATGGAGGAGGGGGCAGCAGAATTCTAGATGGAAGCTAAGGGAACTTGGCCAAAGCCGGGAGGGTAGGACAAAGATGAGTGGGGAGATGTGGGGGAGTTGGACTGCCCAGTGTTCACCTCACACAGGTGAGGGGTGGGAGGGAGGGAGAGATTCTTATACAGGCCCCCCCAGAGAGTGAGATCATGATGTGTTCTGATTGGCGGTGCTGTGCTGGGCATGGCGGGGAGGCCCGCCTCAGCCTGGAGTCACAGAGGGGCCTCTTGGGGTCCCTGCATAAGGGAGACACAGACCCTCCTGCAGCCTTTTGGACCAAGCAGAGTGCAGGAGAGAGTAGCCTTGGGGACACCTGCTGGTTCTGATGCTGTTCAAAGTGCTTCCATGGCCACGAAGTCAGCTATGCAGGGCCACTGTCCCATCTCGCTGAGACCAGGGAAGTGAGCAGAAGACTGACACTAGACTCTGCATCCCCTGCCCTAACCAAGGGTTTCAAGCTTGAGGTGATAAATGAACATCCAGTTGGTCTTCTGCCCCTTCAGAAATTTTGGGAGATCTCCAGACAGATCCACGAGTTCATGACATGGACACAAGTAGAGTGTCCCTTCGAGAAGGACAAGAAGATTCAGAGTTACCTGCTCACGGCACCCATCTACAGCGAGGAAGGTGAGGGCTGCCTCTCCATGGCAGCACGCCCACCTCCCCACAATGTACACATCACCCTGACCGCCCCCCCCCCACACGTCCACAGCCTGTGTAGTTCTTGGGGTCACCCTCAGAGGCAGGCCTGATCGTTATCCCCATGCTTCAAAGGGGAAGCTCAGCTCGTAGGAGTGAGTGCATGAGGGTGGGTTGTGGGCAGATGACAGATGAAGAATAAGGACAAGAGATGAGGCTCCAGAGGCCACTTGAGAGAGCCAGAATGGGGTTGGGTCAGTGCTGCAGAACTAGGAAACTTCTCAGAGACCCCAAATAGGTAGCCAGGAGGTCTAGGCTTCATAGGGCCTGGAACCCCATACAGCAGAGACCTGTGGACGAACTCAGGCCAGAGGTCATTGTCCCCTTGGTCTGGAGTTTCTTCCCAGGCCTAGCTGCACCCCTAGAAGGGAGAGTTTGAGAAGGGATAACTGGTGCAGTAGGCAGACTGACCACATGTGGCCATGGGTTCTAAGGGGCCTCCCATCTCTCAGCTCTCTTCATCGCCTCCTTTGAAAGTGAAGGTCCTGAGAACCACATGGAAAAGGACAGCTGGAAGACCCTCAGGTAGGAGAACTCCAGGGACAGTCTTATGAGCCCCTGAGACCAGCCCCATGCCTGAGTTTACAAGGAAGGGAGAGGACTCGGGGCAGAGGGAAGCATGATCTGCCCCTTGCAAAACGCACCTATGCACAGGCTGGGTCGGGGAAGGCATCCCTGGTGCAGGCTGCCAGTCAGTGGGATTGGGGTTTGAACGTCCCTGACTCCTCCCCTTGGTGGCCGGTTCTTGGAATCCAGGCCCTCCCATAAGAGCACAGGCCTGCCCTCTGCCTGCTCAGGGAAAGGGCCTGCCAGTTACCTGACCATTTCCTGTGGTCCTTTAGGACTACTCTCCTTAACAGAGCCTGAAGGCATGGATGCAGCCTGCAGACGCTGGATGAAGCACACACATGCACCGAGTTTTAATCTTGATTGATATGGGTTGAGATGAGGAGGCCTCACTGGTTGGGGTCCATTTTGTATATAACTTTTATGAAAAAAAAAAAAAAGGTAATTATTTCATGCATCAACCTTTGGCACTTACAAAGCTTTTTTTTGTGTTTATTTTAAATAACAGGGCAGGGCCCTGCTTTGGGGAGGGGTGGGAAAAGAGTATCATGGGAGATGGCATCCATGATAATGTCTTATTCTAATGAAATGTAGATTTTTATTTTATACTTTTGATTATTAACATCTTACGAAAAGATATTTTAAAAAAACCCAACCAAAACCAACGAGAGCCCTGCCTGCTCGGACGCCCTTCCAGCCAGTGTCTCTGATGTCGGGGTTAGTGCCTTAGAGGGTGCTGGAGGGCTGGTCCCCACTCCATTCTTCTGGCCTGCAGCCAGCCAGTGCTGCCGGGAGGCGCCGGGAAAGCTCTGCCCTGGGCCACAAGGTGCCTGCCCTTAAAGCCTAGGCCAGCGAGGCTCCAGCAAGAAGGGCTTGGGTGGCCAGGAGGTCTCATTTGCATACTTCTGGAAGTGAACCTTGAGTATGGCTTTTCCAAAGTTTACATTTTCATTTTCCTTTATCAGGGATTTAGGGGGTTGGGGAGGGGCAGGGGGACACCTGGCAGCATATTTTCTGTTGGAATATGTCTGGCAAATGGTTCTTCAACTACATTTTAGGAAAAGAAAAAATTTAAAATAACGTAAGGGGGGGAGTTGTGCAATTGTCATTTTTCCAAGCTGTAACTGAAAGACACACTTAGCTGTAATGAAGAGAATACAAAGCAGACTTGAGGATGGGGACATTTAAAGTCGTTTTTGAAACCCAAGTACAAAGTGAAAAGAAGCAACACTCAAATCAGTATCCTGGTGGACTGCTCCCTCCTTCCCTCTGGGTGAGGGGCTCCCCTTATGGAATCTGAAACACAGAAAATTAGCCAGGCCAGTAACTGCTGGAGCCCACTCACATAAAACTGCCCGACCTTTGGAGATATTTCCACACCCAAACTCGAGGAGTACACTCCATTTGCTGTCTGACTTCCTGGTTGTGGGAGGTGACAGCTCTGATCCCTTGAAAGTCAGAGGTGAGCAATCCATGCTGATTCTCCCTCCCTCACAGTGGGGCTTTCGTTCTGCACAAGCAGATCTGGAGCTCCGCACCTCACCCTTGTTTCTCTCCGCATGCCTGGCTTCCGCAGAAGCCTTCAGTTGGGAGGCCTGGCTGAGGAGGGTCAGTTAGTTGCTAATTCCCAAAGCTCCTAGGAGAGCCTGGAGATGTGAAGGTGAGGCCTCTGGAAGGAGGTGGCTCCGTGATCCACTGCTGATGCCCTCAGCCCTGGGTGGAGCAAGAATATTTACACTGTATTGTCACAGTGTTTTTGCACTTTTCAGATGTTCTAGATAGTACATATTGTATATTGATGGTACATATTGCTTTGTTTATGTATTTGAGATAAAGAAAGTCTTAAAACTTGAGAATATATATTTGGAATACAATGTTAGAACACTTCCTGTACATGCGTTAAGGAGCTTTCACTTCAGTGTGCACTTCACCGGGTCATCAGTTCTAGTACCTACCTGACACAGTGTCTGCATTTGCTACTTTATTTTCCCAATTTGATACGTACCCTAAATTATGATGTTTCGGTATTTTAAGATGAACTTGAGTATAAAGCTGTACCATAACGCAGGATGTCAGTTGTTGGTGTGACTGGATGTACTTACATCAATAAAAGAACATGTTGCTCCCCTCGAGTGCCTGCTCTTTGTGTGCAGCCTGGACGGCTCTGGTGCTGGCAGGAGTCGCAGGGATGCCTGGGCCAACGAGGAGGATGAGACTGCCAAGGCCAACCATGGCCTTTCAAAGAAGGAGCAAGAAACCCTCATCTACCCAACACATGCTCACAAAGGGCTTTTTAAATAAACAATGCAAAAATAGACAAAGCTGTACAAGAGGCGTATTCTAGTCCTGCTTTCCTCAAAGTAAGATCCAAGAAGATGTCACTGGCTGTTTGTATTATGTGATCATGTGAGTTTGGGAAACCTCTAACTTAAACAAGATTGTAAAGGTTCCTTTACTGTAAGACTAATCAGAACCTTCAGCGTCCATGGGCACTGAGCTTCCCTCCCGGGCCAGGGAAGATTGCAGAGCACCTGCTGACATCTTTCTGCAGAGCAGTTTGCAGAATGCAGTTCTAGAGGGGGCTCTTTTTGTTGTAATGAGTCACATTGAAGAGCACTAAAGAAAAGAGATTTGGTGAGGGGCACATGAGAGCTTGTGGAATTGAAGGAAAAAGCAGCAAGATATTAGAATGGAAGCTGAACTCCCACCTACTTCTCTCTGGTCTGTCTCACCACCACCCTGTCAACAACACCCAGGCCAGATGAGGTCCGCTTGCTCCAGCTCAGTCAACCTTGCGCTGCTCCTTCAGAGCTAACTCACCCAATTTTAATGTGCTCAGTGTCTGTCATGCCCACTAGACCAGCACTGTCCAACAGGAAACTTTCTGCAGTGATGGAATGTTCTGTATCTGCACCGTCCAGTATAGTAGCTGCTAGTTACATATAGATACTGAGCACTGAAATGTGGCCAGTGTGACTGAGGTTTTAAGTTTAAATAGCTAGTGGCCACAGCATTGGACAGGCAGCTGGGCCTGCAGGGCTTTGTCACCTGGTGCTTCTCCAGTACCTCAGTGGGTGGAAGACACACAATAGGTGCTCAGGTGTTTGTGGAGCAAATGGAGGACACCTGTTAGGGTGTGTGAGTTTTGGGTAAATGACAATACCTCTTAGGTCTTTACCAGGAAATTAAGGATGCTATTGAATTTAAAGTTAATTTTGGACGTTTCTACCTACTTCATCTGAAGAAGGGGCAGTGCATTATTTGGTCTGTGCCTTGGACGCAGGGCTTGGGCTAGGAGTGGGAGGCGAGCTTGCTTGGCTAGCTGTGGCACTTTCCTTCACCCACAGGGTAGTCTCTGCAGGGCAGTGCTTATCAAGGTGTGGGTCCTAGACCAGCAGCAGCAGCAGCACTGGGAACTTGTTCAGAATGTATGCTCTCAGGGCCTCACTGTAGACCTGCTGAATGGGAGACACGAGGGAGCCCAGGTAAGTTTGAGAAACTCTCCTGGCAGGTGAGGTTCTGCAGGAGTTGCTGCCTGCCTGCCCTCACAGCCTCCTTCTCCCAGGTGCTCTCTACTTCTCAGGCATACTAAACTCACATGCCACACTCATGCACCTCATCTAATATTCGTGATTCCATTCTCACAACTCCTTCCTTGAGCCTCCTGATATCTTCCTGGTGAGTGATGCTCTGTGCTTCTCTGGGCCCTGCCCCTCCTTCCACATCACACCGTTGGCATCTATCTCATGCACTGGAGTCTCAGCTCTTTGTGTGTAGAAGCCACTTGTCATATAGCTATGTGGCCAGTGACCAGCATGGTGTCCCATTCCTCACAGCACCATATATGATGACTGAATGCTACCTTTCACTTCACACACGTTTCAGGAACAAATACTATGTTAGAGCAGCAGATGTGACAGCAAGATAAGCTGAGGATCTCTACTAAGGCCATAGAGACTTATGTGACAAAACCAAGATTATTTGTGAAATATACACCTACTATACCTATATGTCAAACGTATGCGTTGTTCCCCAGGGAGGCAAGACAGGATAAGCCTAAGAGTCCTAGTGTCCAGTTCCCAGCCAGGTACACTTGGACAAGTTGTTTACGTTTTTAAGCCTCCATTTTCTCATGATTAAGATGGACTCACAATACTCCATCCCATGGGGCTGCTGTAACATTACATGGCAGAAAGTGCAGCGCCTGGTTCAGTAGTAGTCAGTATTAGCTGTATCCTCACAGTGGCACCCTGATGAAACTACATGCCACTTCTCCTGCAGAGAGTGGAAGCTTCTGGGAAAAGTGAAACAAAGGATTATAAGTGCCCTTCTCAAAGGAAAAACTGAAGTCCTGGTCGATACAAATATATGCTAATATTACCAAAGAAGCACGTGTTAAATTTAACTAGCATATAAACATAATGGGAAAAAATTCCCACAAATTTGGGATTCAAAACTACTTTCTAAATGAAAAACTTACTATCCACCTATAGGCTGGTAACTTTAGGGCATTTTTTTTCTATCTTTATTCTCAAAAAGGAAGTCACGATACTTTGAGTAAGGTGAGGGGCTGCCAAAAAACGCCACAAATATCTACCCCCAGCACACCCAGAACTCTCAGGTATGGATCTTCAGCAAGATGTCGAAGATCAATGTCATCAAGAAGATAGGATAGTAAGTTACGCACCTGTCCATTTCTGGCAGCATGAAAGAGTGAGTGCTTACCTGCTGAAATCAACTGATAAAGTTACGCAAAATTTAAAAATCCAAGTGAAGGCAGGAACCCAGAGTCAGGGAAGCTCTGAAGTCTGTTTTTGCCCTGAGGGCAGGGACCGTGAGCTTCCATTTTCATGTCCACAAGCAAGGGAGATAGAGAAGACAGTTCAGGGCCTGCTCAAGCTGAGAGATCAAATGGAAGACCCTAACCCATAAAGCTGGCATCCCAAAGAAACACTCTTCTGCCTAACCATGAACTTTAAGTAAAATGCTCTGCACCCAACCCCACCAAGGGGTATAAGGAAAATTGCCTGTTTTGAACCTTGGCACTGCAGGTGGAAAAAAATTTACCCCTGATAATTTGTAACCATAAGTCAGTGAGTTTCACAAAGTTTTGCAGCACAAATCACACTGGTCAAAAAAACTTTAAGCTGAGAATTTAGTTTAACATGGCCCTGAACTGGTACTGCCCCTAAGTTACCCAGAAGCAAATATTCTGACTTATATTCTAGTTTAAAAAGTCTCTCCTTAGCTATGTCTAATCTTCTGTTAAAGCCACCTGCTGGGTTTTAAAATTGATTTCATTCCTAGATGCTCTATGTGTTTTTTTTCCCAAATCTGTTTGGTCAAAATTCTGAAGAAATACCAGAATGCAACACAGAAAGACAAAGATTGGAAAATGTGAAACAGGTTAAGAGACATGGAGGTTACAACAGGTTTAACTTGTTATCAGAGTTACAGAAGAAAAGAGAGAGAATGAGGCACAGACAATGAAACTCTGACAGCTGAGAGAATTTCAGAATTGACAGAAGACAATAATCCAGGGAGCCCAAAGATTCTCAAGCAGCATCAGAGTAACAGAAAAATCTGCACACAGACATAGCACAGTGATATAGAACAGAGATAAGAAAACTTCCCAAAATTCTGTACGCTTCAAAAAATATTTTTTAAATGAGACAAAGATATTTACAAAGTAAAATGGAGCTTGCTATCTGCAGATCTTCCCTAAAAGAAGTTCTGAAGGATGAATCTTGACTCCTACTGCACACTATACCCAAAATTATTTCCAGATGCATCACAGATCTAAATATGAAAGGTAATACAATAAAGTAACTAAAAGAAAAATGAAAATTTTTCTTTACTTTGGAGTAGGCAAAAGTTTCTTAAATTGGACACCAAAATCACTAGCCATAAAAGAAAGAAAATTGATAAACCAGACTTTACTAAAATTAAGAACTTTTGTTTATTAACAAATAACATTAAGAGATGAAGAATAGTCCCATGCCTGGGAGAAGATATTTGCAATATATAAATCTGACAAAAGACTCATATCTGAAATTTAGAACTCCTAGAAATCAATTTTTTAAAAAGCCAATTAAAAAAAGGAGCGAAAAATTTTAATAATCATTTCACAGAAGAATTACAAATGGCCAATAAGCATATGAGAAGATACTCAACATTATTTCCCTGATAATAAACTAAACCAAAAATGAGACAGCTGTACACACTCAACACAAATTAAAGGGTCTAAATTAAAAACACTGAAAATACTGTGTTGGGGAGATGTGAAGTAACTGCATCTCTCATATGTGGCTAGCAGGGGTCAGTTACTTGAAAGGACTGAAAAAAATTTGCCAATCTCTGGTAAGCCTAATCAAGAAAGAACAAAAGACTCAAACAAACAATATCAGGAATGAAAGAGGCACTATCACTATAGATCCTGTACATATTACACAGATAAAAGGAGATCACAAACAACTTTGTAAGTTTCCTCTAAATTTTCAAATTTATCAGTATAAGTTCCTAGAAATTTGCACCTTACCTAAAATAACTCAATCAAAAATGACTTCAGAAGAAATAGAAAATCTGAATAGTTATACCATCATTAAATAAATTGAACCAGTGATCAGAAATCCTCCCATATAGAAAAGTTCATGCTTAGGGGTGGCTTACAGGCAGTTCATTTAAGGAAGAAACAATTCCAGTCTTACATAACTTTTCTAGAAACAAGAATAAGAGGGAACACCTATCACTTGTTATAAGCTAGTATAACATTAATAGAAAAGTCCAACAAGGAGGAGGAAGGGAAGTCCCAGGCAATCTTACTCATGAACATGCATGAAAAACACCTGACATATATACATACCCACACACACATGCAAATACATACACAGGTCTGTAAATGAATGTGTATGTGTGTCTGTGTGTATGCAAACTGAATCCAGCAATGTATGATGAGGATAATACATCATGACAGATTAGAGTTTAGCCCAGGAATGCAAAGGTACTTCAGAAAATCAATCAACTCATCAATTTAACATATCAAAGATGGGAAAAAAATCATATGATCATTTCAACAGATATAATAAAGGTATTTGATAAACCCTCTCGAGCATGATAAAAACTCACCAAGTAGTAATAGAAGGTAACTTTGTTAACTTGATAAAGGGTATTTACAAAAACACCTCCAGCAAATACCTTACTGATGAAACACTGAGTGAGCTCCCCTTGAGATCAGAAACATGAGCCAAAGGCCCACTCTTATCACTTTCAGTCAACACTACACAACAAATCCTAACAAGCATAGGAAGACAAGAAGAGTAAAGATACAAAAATTTAAAAGAAACAAAACTTTCAATACTTATAAATACGTGATATGATTATGTAACAGAAAACATGAAAAAGAAACTAGAAATACATTATTAGAATTAAGTGTTTTTGGCAAGGTTGTTGAACACAAAAATTAACACACAAAAATCAATTTGATTTCTAAACACCAGCAATAGACAATAAAAATAAAGACAGTTACAGTGATATCGAAAATGCAAAGTATGTAAGTCCCCTGTGGGAAAAAAGTATCAAACTTAATTGCAAGACAATAAAGAGTCAAATAGTTATGTCATGTTTAAGGATTAGAAGATTCCGTATCATAAAGATGTAAATTTTCCCCAAGTGATGTTACAGATTCAATGAGATTCCAATCAAACTCATAAAGATTCTTGTGAAAGTTTATTCTAAAATTTATATGACAGTACAAAGGCTATGTATAAGCATGGCAATCTTTAAGAACAAGGCGAGTGGACTCTCAGAGACATTGACTTGTATAAAGTTACAGTAATTTAGACTGTGAGGCAATGGCATGGTGACAGACAGAAAGCCTAACTGAACAGATGAGAGCCCAGAATCAGACCTGTGAATGTATGGACATCTGAGGATGACAGAGTGGTTCTGCAGATCAGCGAGTAAAATATGGACTTACAGGTGACCCTGGAAAAAAGTTAAATGCAATCCTTACCTCATGTCATACACAAAAATCCCTTCTACTTACATTAAAGACCTAATTGGGAAAAGCAAAGTTATGTATGAGGTATTCAGAATATAATACAGAACAATAGCTTTAAGACATCCTTCCCTATTATAAAGTCATAAATCAATAATAAAAAGTAGAATACATGAAGGAAGAAGATTCATTAATCACATTAAAGTTAATTTTTATTCATCAAAAAATACCATCAAGAATGAGAAAGACAAGTCATATCCTGGGAGAAGATATTTGCAAACATTTAACCAACAAGAATTGGTATGCTGAATCTATGAAGAATTCCTATGAACTGATAAAGATGGGCAAAAAGGCTGTAAATGCAAATTATAACAATTCATGCCTAAAGCCCATTAGATAAGCAAGAATTAATAAGCCTGACAAAATTAAGTATTGCCAAGGATGCAAGGTAAACTTTCTCAAAGTGCTGGAGGTGGTCCACTTCAGAAAGTAATTGAACATGCACACAGCTGATGATTTAGCATTATTACTCCTACAGAAATTCTCGCACACTTAGAGACACGTACAGGAGTATTCATGACAACACTGCTTGTGACAGCAAAAGCAAACAAGCACACAACAAAAAATCACAAACAACTCAATCTGTAAACAGTAGAATGAATAAATATTGTAGTATATTCATACAGTAGAAGACTAGTCAGTAATAAAAATGAATTAATTTTGAGATTAACATCTCAAATTACGTTTTGAAGCAAACCTCAACAACATAATACTGAATGAAAGTTAGAAACTATAAAATAAAATAATAGGTATATAAATTCAAAACTAGGCAAAACTAAACCATGTATTGGGAAGAGATACATAGACAGTTGGAAAAACTGTGAAGAAAAACAGGTGAAAAGTTAATCACAAAAATCAGGATAGTGACTCTTATGGAGAGAGTGAGGGTGTGTGATCAAGTAGGGGCATAGAGGCCTCTCACTGGTAATGTTCTATATCTTTTTTTTTTTTAACCAAGATTGGCCCTGAGCTAACATCTGTTGCCAATCTTCTTCTTTTCCCCTTCTTCTCCCCAAAGCCCCCCAGTACATAGTTGTACATTCTAGTCGTAGGTCCTTCTGGTTCTGATATGTGGGACGCCACCTCAGCGTGGCTTGACAAGGAGTACTAGGTCTGGGGCCAGGATCCAAACTGGCGAAACCCTGGGCCACCAAAGCAGAGCGTGCGAACTCAACCACTCAGCCACAGGGCCGGCTCCAGCGTTCTAGATCTTAATCTGGGTAGCTGGTGCACTGGTGTTGGCTTTATTATTCTTTAAAGTACACAATTACATGTTATACACGTTTTGTATTTATGATATCTTACAACAGAAAGAAATTTATCACATTTTCATTTAACTTTTGGTAATAAAATAGTTTATTGGTACCGTTTAATGTCAAAAACATGGCATTGTTTCTATTGCTTAGCTTCCATCTTTAAATTAAAAGCTAGTTTAAAAAACACAAGAGAAAAGGTGAAGTCATTTGATTCCGTCAAAAAACAAGCTGCAACTTACCTTTGCAAATAGTTAGGTTCTCTCACTTTAAATACGCTAATTCACTGGTCTTCCTAATAAATAATTGTATATAAAAGGAGACAATGGTGTGAATAATTTTGCAGAGAAAACTTTATGTATCTTAAAAATAAGCCTAAATGCTATCCCAACTTAAAACTTGTAAGAATTATTAGTAAGTTATTGTAAAATTGAATTCATATAGCACCAAGAAATTTGAGATTTGTAATATTTCAGACGATATGATTTACTGAGCAAAAAGAGTAACGATTTTTCAGGGGTTTATATACAAATAGATAGAATTCAATATAGGTCCCTTTTAAACACCAAAGGTTCAAAAATCTATGCATGCCTTTCACCATATCTCCAATTTCTGGATCTAGCAATTGACTCTATGGTAAAAGATCCACGTGTGATAAATAATAGGACAGTCCTTTCTGAATATAACTTCTTATTCATCTTGTCTCATTAATATATAATTTATATCTCAATTAAAACATCATTCTATCTGCAAGCAATGTATTTCTCTAAAATATTCTGTAATTCAGATTTCCATTCAGACTACCTTCCCCTCCTCTCCTTTTCTGAAATCAGTGTGATTTTATGGTATACCTCATGAAATTGTCTTTTCTCCCTTCAGTGAAACTCTCTTTCAACTCAAAGTATTATAATAATGCAAATATAGATGTAGCATACATTAACATATTAGGGGAAAAAAGGTAATAAATATATATGGATCCATGCTAAATGAGACTATACAAAGCAAAGACCAAAAGACACCATGCTATGCTCATCTATTCTGAACCACCGCAAGAAGGCCCTGATGTGGCTCTGACTAACATAATGTTCCCAGACACCCCAAGTGTCCTGTACTCCAGCATAATTAAGTGTTCTGTTAAGGAAATTTCCATGTGGATTTCTGTTTATTCAAACCAGTCTACAGTAACTCTGACTACTAATCCTGAACATGATGATAAAGTAGTAACACACTGTATTTTTAATCAAGTCATAGATTCTAACCTAAGTATTTCCTACTATTACTCATTTGTTTAAAACAGACATTCCTGGGGCTAAGCAACATTAAATTAAAGGTTTTTATCTCTTCCTTCTCTTGGTTGGTTGAGGATTTCAGATGTGTCATCTAATTATCCTCTGCTTCAGTGAAAAAGGATTCTTCAAGCAACTGACCAAAGATCTTCATTTTAAAACCAAGCAGGATGACTCAGTGGTCAGCAGGTGAAGAACCTCTGTCCACACACTTCATCCTTAACACTCCACTCTCTGCAGGAATAGGATGCTCCTGACCCACCATCAGCATAGCACATTTCATCCCTCAGCCCACATACAACCAGGACACATCAGAACATGGGTGCTGGGTAGAAACTAATTCGAAACTACTTTTGAGACAGATTTCAACTTGTCAATAGTCATAGTACAGTATTCTCACAAAACAGACTCTGCATTGAAGCACTTGCTTTGTCTTCTCATATCAAGTTAAACTGCTAAAGTGAAGTAATATCAGAAAGAACATAAAAGATAGGCATGTCTTCTCTGAAAGAGGCACTGCATCTGCAATGGGAATTAAGGCTAAATAAATAGTGCTGGTTTCGGTTCAGACTAATAAGTCAACAACTACGTTAACCGACAGCTTCGCTATTTGTCCTGTATGCCTGTTTATGAAGATGTGTCTCTATCTCCTCCCTGAAGACCAGCATTCCCAGGTGCGAGTGAGAGGCCTCATTCATGGCTTTGGACTGGATGCACATGCGGTACTGCTCAGGCGTCAGCTCATCTGCACAGCGTTTCTCATGCCAGAGGTGGAAAAGGCCAGGAACTGGAGTCCGAATCACAATCAGGTCACCATGCAAGTATTTTCGATAAAGATGAACATCTTCTCCACCCCAACCTTTTACTTCCATGTCAAATCCACCTGCAGGATCAAAATTGACACTATAAGTAACTGCCTGGCAGCCAGAGCACAGTGGAACCTGATAAAGATTTAAATGTTCTGCTTCAAATGTGATGGTATGGCACAGCCCAAAGAAACCTGATGCAGAGGACCGAAGTCCTGGTTTAGAAGTCCAGTTACCAGCTGACATCTAGGAGCTTAAGGTCTCTATTATTCAGAGTATCAAAATGAGATTAAATATTTGAGAATGCTTTGTAAACTTCCAAGTTCTACAGAAAATCTACAGAAAGTCAAATAAAGGAGAAGGAAATATAAATCAGCCATAATCTCATCCCCACTCATATTTTATTATGTTCTCTTTCTATCCTGTGAGACACAAGTTTTCTGGGTCACAGAAAACTTTCCAGAAGGGAAAACAGAAGAAATGATGAACCCAGAAAAATAAATTTGAGAAAGGGCACACAGATGATTTAAAGCCATAGAAATGGATGAAATTACTGAAGGAGTTTAGAAGAAACACAGGGCTTAGGTCTAAATGCTAAGAAAGGCCAATATCTCGAAGTTGAACAGATGCAGAGAAAGTTAAGTAGTAAGGGACTTAGAAATGGCCCCAGAGGAGGGAGAAAATTCTGGAGAATGTGTTATCATAGTCAGGTGAAGAAAGCATCTTGAAAAAATGGTCAAATATGTACTGCTCAATTAAGAACTTTAAAAGAACCAAGCAGACCTGGCAACATAAATATCACTTATAACCTGACTTAGAACAAACCTGATGGGACAATGGGGCAGAAGGCTAACTGGAGTGGGCAGGCACATGAAATGAGAGATAAAGTTGAGAGTATTTTCAAATTGGTTTCAGTCGAACAATTAACTTTTTAAAGAAGCATGAACACAAACTATTTGGAGTTTTTTTAAGAGCTAGAAAAGAGAGTCTTAAAAACTGAGAAAAAATTACTTCTTTACTTAAGAGCTAGGTTTCCAAATTACATATTCTCTCAAATAATTCTATGCCACTTAATTTCACACACATAGGATGACAAGAATCCTGAGATCTCGGAAAAGCATTACTTTAAACACATGGCTTTATTAATTGCTCTATGTGATACACCTTGGCTTTTCTTCCTTGTAGACACAAATAAGCTCTTCTAATAGTAGAGATGGTGTAGATACTTAAAGTAAACGGGGGACTTCCAGTTTCTGTCCTAGAAGTCATCACTCTGTCCTAACAAGTAAAAGCTGAACAAATTGAAAAATCAACAGCTCTTCTCAGATCCCTCCGAGAAGTAAGGTCACAGGGTAAATTGCTGCCCCCAAAATTTGAGAGACAGACAGGTGGGAATGACAATTTACTAGAACAGAAACTCGTAAGTAGAAATCTCTGGGGCAACCAGTACCAGGGGTAGGAAAATCTGAACTGTAATTGACAAATGGAAGCTCAAAAGACAAGTCTGAAAGTTAAAAATTCCAGTGAGGGGCCCAGCCCTGTGGCCAAGTGGTTACAGTTCCATGTGCTCCACTTCAGCGGCCGGATTTGCGGGTTCAGATCCCCGGCGCAGACCTACTCCACTCACCAGCCACGCTGTGGTGGTGTTCCACATACAAAGAAATACAGGATTGGCACAGATGTTAGGTCAGGGCTAATATTCCTCTAGCAAAAAAAGAGGAGGGTTAGCAATGGATGTTAGCTCAGGGCGAATCTTCCTCAGCAAAAAAACAAAACAAAAAACAAACCTCCAGTGGGGGCCAGTCATGGGGGGGGACCCCTACATTTTTGTGAGTTTTACCTCTAGTTAGCTCTACCAGGTTCTCACAGTGAAGACTGGAGAAAAATCCCCTAGTGCTTCTAGCAGGGGGAAGGAGGAAAGTAACCATTTTGAAACATGCTAGAGCATTCTATTCTTCTTAACAAGACCTGCCCTCAGGAAAAACCATTTTACCAGAGCCTAACCTACCTGGAGGAAGGGATATAACCAACTCCAGCCCACTCTAGCCATCCTGTCTCAACTAAGGTGGGGGCAGTGTCTGACAAACATTTATGAACTTCACTGTCCAGATGCACAGGCTCACTAGAGAGTGAAACCTAATCACAGGACTACAGCATGCTTCCTCTTCTCCACACCTTACCTCCACGTCACTAAAGGCCTATTTACCGCAGTTTCCTTTTACCTAGTACATCATGTTCAGCTATCAAGAAAAAATTAGGCATACTAAAAGGCAAAAAATGAAGTGTGAAGAGACAGAGCAAGCATCAGAACCAGACTCAGATATGGCAGGGATGTTGGAATTACAGGCACACCTCGGAGATATTGTGGGTTTGGTTCTAGGCCACTAAATAAAGCGAATATTGCCATAAAGCAAGTCACACATATTTTTTTGTTTCTCAGTGCAGACAGAAGTAATGTTTCCATTACACTGTACTCTACAAAGTGTGCAATAACATTATGTCAAAAAAATGTACTTAATTAAAAATACTCTATTGCTAAAAAATGCTAACTATCATCTGAGCCTTCAGTGAGTTGTAACGTTTTTGCTGGTGGAGGGTCTTGCCTTGATGTTGACGGCTGCTGACTGATCGGGGTGGTGGTTGCTGAAGGTCAGGGTGGCTGTGGCACTTTCTTAAAACAAGACAACAATGAAGTTTGCCCCATCGATTGACTCTTCCTTTCATGAACGATTTCTCTGGACTATGTGATGCTATGTGATAGCATTTTACCCACAGCAGGACTTCTTTCAAAATTGGAGTCAATGTTCTCAAACCCTGGTGCTGCTTTATCAACTAAGTTTATGTACTACTCAATCCTTTGTTGTCATTTTTACAGTCTTCACAGCATCTTTACCAGGAGTAGATTCCATCTCAAGAAACCACTTTCTTTGCTAATCCATAGAAGCAACTCCTCATATTAAAGTTTTATGATGAGATTGCAGCAATTTAGTCACATCTTCAGGTTCCACTTCTAACTAGTTTCCATCACATCTGTAGTTACTTCCTCCACTGAAGTCTTAAACCCATCAAAGTCATCCATGGGGGCTGGAATCAACTTCTTCCAAACTTCTGTTAATGTTGATATTTTGACTTCTTCCCATGAATCACAAATGTTCTTAAAGGCATCTAGAATGGTAAATCCTTTCCAGAAGATTTTCAGTTTACTTCGCCCAGATCCATCAGAGGAATCACTATCTGTGGCAGCTATAACCTTACAAAATGCGTTTCTTAAATAATAAGACTTGAAAGTTGAAATTACTCGTTGATTCACGGGCTGCAGAATGGATGTTGTGTTAGCAGGCATGAAAACAACATTAATCTTGTTGTATACTTCCATCAGAGCTCTTGGGTGACCAGATGCATTGTCAATGAGCATTAACATTTTGAAAGGAATCTTTTTTTGAGCAGTAGCTCTCAACAGTGCACTTATAATATTCAGTAAACCATGTTGTAAACAGATGTGCTGTCATTCAGGCTTTGTTGTTCCATTTACAGAGCACAGGCAGAGTAGATTTAGCATAATTCTTAAGGGCCCTAGGATTTTTGGAATGCTAAATGAGCCTTGGCTTCAACTTAAAAGTCACTAGCTGCATTAACCCCTAATAAGAGAGTCAGCCTGTCCTTTGAAGCTTTGAAGCCAGATGCCTCCCTAGCTGGCATCTTTTTCCAATATGACTGTTTCATCTACACTAAAAAATCTGTTGTATAGTGTGGCACCTTCATTAATAATTTTAGCTAGATCTTTTGGGTAACTTGTTGCAGCTTTTACATCAACACTTTTTGCTTCACCTTGCACTTTTATGTTATGGAGATGGCTTCTTTCCTTAAATGTCATGAACCAATCTTTGCTAGGTCCAAACTTTTCTTCTGCAGCTTCCTCACCTCTCTCAGCCTTCACAGACCTGAACAGAGTTAGGGCCTTGCTCTGGATTAGGCTTTGGCTTAAGGGAATGTTGGGTTTGATCTTCTATCCAAACCACTAAAACTTTCTCCATATCAGCACTAAGGCTGTTTCACTTTCTTATTATTTGTGTGTTCAGTGAAGTAGCACTTTTAATTTCCTTTAATAACTTTTCATTTGCATTCACAAGGTGGCTAACTGTTTGGCACAAGAGGCCTAGCTTTTGGCTTATCTCAGCTTTTGACATGTCTTCCTCACTAACCTTAATCATTTCTAGCTTCTGATTTAAAGTGAGAGACATGCAACTCTTCCTTTCGCTTGACAGAGACCCTGCAGGCTTATTAATTGGCCTATTTTCAATATTGTTGTGTCTCAGGGAATAGCGAGGCCCAAGGAGAGGGGGAGAGATGGGGGAACAGCCAGTTGGTGGAGGAGTCAGAAAACATATAACTTAATTTATCCATTAAGTTCACCATCTTACATGGGCAGTGTTCGTGGAGCCCCAAAACAATTAAAATAAAAACACCAAAGATGACTGATCGCAGATCACCATAACAAATATAATAATGAAAAATTTTGAAATATTATGAGAATTACCAAAACGTGACACAGAGACACGAAGTGAGTAAATGCTGTTGGGAAAATGGTGCCAACAGATTTGCTTGGTACAGGTTTACCACAAACCTTCAGTTTGTAAAAGAATGTAATATCTGCAAAGTGCCATAAAGTGAAGCACAATAAAACGAGGCATGCCTGTATCAGATCAGGAATTCAAAACAACTGTGATTAAAATGCTAAGGGCTTTAATGGAAAAAGTAGACATCATGCAAGAACAGATGGGTAATGTAAGCAGAGAGAGAGAAATTCTATGAAAGAATAAAAAATAAAGGTTAAAGATAAAAAACAATGTAATAAAAATGAATAATGCCTTTGAGAGGCTCAATAGTAGATGGATCTGGATGAGGAAAGACTCTCTAGCTTGACAACATGTCAATAGAAACTTCCAAAATTGAAAGCAAAGAGAAAGAAGACAAAGGAAGAAAAAAAACACAAAACAGAACAGAATATCCAAGAATTATAGGACAACTACAAAAGGTGTAACACGTGTCTAATGGGAAGATCAAAAGAAAAGGAAAGAGAGAAAGGAATAGAATCTCCAGATGAAAGAATCTAAATTCCACACAAGTGCTGATGAGAGGGCAGGGGCTCCCTTTCTCACTCAGCCCACGTTCATAGGGTAGAGGTTCCACTTAAGGTGTGGCAGGCCAATAATACTGGGGGACCTTCTACCCCACTCAGCACTCTACTCATAAAGCAGGGTGTCACCCTGAGAGAACTGTGCCACTGCCTCCACCCCAGCACTGGAGCAGAGGCTTGGAGATTTTTCCCAGGGGAAGAGGAAATCCGTAAGAACAAACTGCTCCAAAGCTCTTCCCAAAGGAACTGACTATTTGAAACAGAGTGTACAGAAGTTCAAGCCAAAAGGGGCTCTTGAAAATAATGGAGATTTTGATGGTAAACAACTAAGAGGAGGCTGATAGCCCCATTAGAGGAGCAAGCTAAAATGCAGGCTGGCTAGTTTACCAGAGAGAAACAGGGAAAAGTGACAGCTAAGAGCCCTCGTGGGGTGGGAACAAATCTCAAAGACTTGCCTCAAAAACTACCCTGCAAAAGGGCACAATTTAATAGGGTCAGACTGTGGAACAATTTATGCCCCAGAGCATTGTCAGCAAGCAATTAGTGAAGCCTTAACAAGTGGGTGCAATACCAAGAGAGAGGCATGGAAAGAGACAAAGAGAGCCCTGCTAAACCCAGTGTCATCCCAGGATGACTGTGCACATGCCCTGAGGAGTGACATGAGAGGCTTCATACTGGTGGAGGGTGGGGAATAGAATTAACTAAAATAGTAAAGTGAAGTCAATAAGTAAATAAACAAGGAAAAACAAAACAAAAAACAAGCCCTGGAGGCAGGGGGGAATCAATATCCAGAATTGACACAACATATTACCCAAAATGTCCAGTTTTCAAACAAGAAATTGCGAGGCATGTAAAGAAACAGAAAAGTGTGACCCATATATCAGAAAAAAAGCAGGCAACAGAAATTGCCTGTGAGAGGGCCCAGATGTTGGTTTTAACAAAGATTTCAAAACAACCACTGTAAATATGTTCAAAGAATTAAAAGAAATCATACTTAAAGAAGTAACAGAAGGTAAAATGACAATGGCTCATCAAATAGAGAATATTAATAGACAGAAATTATATATAAAAAAAGAACCAAATGGAAATTCTGAGGTTAAAAAAATACAACTCAAAGAAAAAATTAGCGTAACTCAACAGTAGATCTGAATTAACAAAACAAAGAATCAGAGAACTTGAAGACAGATCAATTGAGATTATGTAATCTGAAGAATAGAGGGAACAAGAGTGAAGAAAAATGCACAGTCTTAGAGAAATGTGGGACATCATTAATTGCACCAACATATGTCTAATATGAGTATGAGGAGAAAACAATGAGAAAGAAGCAGCGAGAAATAACAGAGGTCAGAAGGCAGTGATATATCCTTACTGTTTTATTAAGCAAAAAGTCAGGGAAAAGGGCATTAGTTTCATTTAATAGTCTTTTTATTGCTATTTGCTGAATTTCCATTATTCAAGTGTTATAATGATAAAGAGACAAGGTAGAGGAATTTCCAAAACAAATGGCTGATTATAAAAATGAATGTATGATGGACGTAAAAAGTATATGAAATATATTCTATTATCAAATATAAAAAAATAAGTATATATATAAAATATATAAAATATTTCTAATATGCTGTGGCAAGGTAGTCACTGAATGAATCAGGAGATATGGAATCAGGTTTCAGCCTTTCTTAAACTATGCTCTGATGCTTTATTTTTTTGCTGTGTAAGAATGACGATGGGGTGGGGCAGGAAGATTAGACGAGATTCTTCATGGTCATCTTTGGCTCAGGAGAGTGAGTGGATGACGAAGCCCGTGACTCTCAGTCCCCTACTCCAACTTCAATGACAGCTAGAAAGAGCAGCTGTTTTTTCATTTGTTTTAAATACTGGGATTTTGCATGACAGTTCAATAGACAATTAAAGGGGGTTTCATCTCTAAATAAAAAAATATGAAAGCCCGTGGACTAGATAATCCACCATTACTTCCAGCTGTAACAATCCATGAGTACAACACCAAAGTTATGTAGAGACTTTTTATAAGTACTCGAAACAACTGCAAATATAGGTAACAAGCCAGATGTTTTCAAAAACTGGTTTGATTTTAAAGAAACAAGTAAATATTATATTAACACTTTTATTTTATCTTTATGACCTCATTTTTGCTATTCAAAGACATTAATTATAAACTCACTTTGCCTTTCATATTTCCAGACTCCTCTTTTTAGCTAATCTCAGACATTCATAATTTAATAGGAAAACACTCAAATCTGAGATATTTTAGAAAAATGCCATAAGGTGCTACAGTAAATACGTAAAGTCCTATCCTTAAATGTCAGGTATACTTACCAATGGTTAGGAAATCTGATCGATACTGACAAGTCATTCCAAAGCCAAAATCTCGCCAAAAGCCAGAATCCTTTTTGTGAACCTTAAGTTAAAAAAAAAAGTTCAATTTAATCCCTCAAGAACCAGAAGTTTTAATCAACAATGAAACAAATTACTTTCCAAATAATAATTTTTCCTGTCATTTATGTGACTGGTAATGGATCACATGCATTTATATTATTAAATCCTTACAAAACCAACAAAAATATAGTAATCACTATGAGCAAAAAATTCTTGCCACTTTCACTTTAGTTGAATTCAAGCCCTGTCAAGGTGCAAGTTAAGGCTACTAATAATCAAACAGTGTGTTGCCTGACCTCACAGGCAACATTCTATTCTAGGAGGACAACAGCTGCGCAAACACATACTGTAATACACTGTGATCAATTCTTCACAGGAGACCTTATTTGGTGCCTACCCAGCATCCACTCCCTGGCCACTTCCTGACTGTACAGTTTTGCTCTGGTAAGTACCTGGCCCCTGGCAGCCCATGAGCTTCAGGGAAGCTCCTTCTACCTGTAGCTTCAGACTGGGCCATGAGTATTCTATACCTCACTTACTGTAGGAGTTGATTCACTAACAGGCATTAGACAAAATTCAGACCAACATGTTAAAAGGGGAGAGTTGTTGGGAACTTTGGAAAACAAAGCCCCCTCATTCTTCTGAGAGAGCTACTAGAAAAGACACTTGCTCGTTTTGGATGGAGTAGGGCAGGAGTAAGTAAACTACAGCCTCCAGGCTAAATCTGGCCTGCTGCCTGTTTTTGTAAATAATTTTAGCGGAACACAGTGACACTCATTTGTTTACAAATTGTCTGTGGGTGCTTTCATGGTACAATGGTAGAGGGGAGTAGTTGTAACAGCAACTGGATGGCCTGCAAAGCCTAAAATATTTTCTGTGTGGCTCTTTACAGAATAAGTTTGCCAAACCCTGGTGTAGGGTGTAGATGTGAAGCTGGGAAGTGCTGCAGTCCTTTTCTACGACAAGGGAAAAAAGCCCCCTGGTACATAGTTGTACATTCTTCCTTGTGGGTCCTTCTAGTTGTGGCATGTGGGACGCTGCCTCAGCGTGGTTTGATGAGCAGTGCCATGTCTGCGCCTAGGATTCGAACCAATGAAACACTGCGCCGCCTGCAGCAGAGCACGCGAACTTAACCACTCAGCCACGGTGCCAGCCCCAGGAAACCAGCTTTAAAATGAAGCTGTCACCACTGAAGTCCAAGCAGAAAAAGAAAAAGATGATCAAGGCTTTGATGATACTGAGCCTCCAGAATCAAGTAAAAGTTGAAGCTTGATAAACCTCCTTTATCTTATTCATAGATTCAAGAAGTGTTTAATCTGTTGGACATGGTTCTGGGAGCTGGGACCCAGCAGAGAACAGAGCTGCAAAGTCCCTGCCATCACAGACCCTCTGTTTTGATGGGAAAATAGCAAATAAATAAATATATATCTCAGGTGGTAATACATGGAGAATGGGAGAGCATGATGGAGAGAAAGTCCATTTTGGATATAATGGCCACAAAAGGCCTCTCTGAGGAGGTAACTTTGGAGTAGACACCCTAAGGAAATCAGGGACTGAGCTATGCAAATATCTGGAGAAGATCATTCCAGACAGAGAGCAACATGAGGTAGGAGCATGCGTGGAGTGTTTGACAAACACTAAGGAAATGACTGTGGTAAAAGCAGAGAAAGCAAGGGCAAGAGCAGAAGACTGAGGCTCCAGGGTCAAAAAAGGGCTATTATATTTTTTAAAGATGAATGGTATTATTTTTGTATGCTTACAGTAATGATCTAGAAGAGGCAAAATGTTCGGATAGGAGAGAATAAAGAATGGCTGGAGGGGTATCCTTATTTAGGCACAAGGGATGAGCTCTATCTAGTTCACTACAAAAGGACAGACTAGCCTTATGAAGGGACATGGGAATGGAGAGAGGCTGAGGATGTCAACACAGAGGCAGTGAGGCTGATGGATCTCATGATAGAATGAGGAAGTGAATGTCTGACTGCTTCTCTTTTCTAAGCGAAATATGAAGCAGGGTACGTGGAGAGTGAGTAGTAGAGACAGGTGCTGGGAGGTATGAGGAGATGGACAGCGTGGCTGACTTGGAAGACAGAGAGTGGGTGGATCAGGGTAAGGTGCAGGACTTCAGGGCAACCGGTGATCCCTGAGGCCTGTGGTCATATATTTAAAGCAATGTCACGTAGTGGGCTGTGTTCCTCACTCTCCATATTCTGCTGCTCTGTGGCCTGAACCAGGCCCTAGACGGAATTGCTCTTAGTCAGGTTGGGGTTCTAAGACAAAACGCTGGAAGGAGTGAGGGATGAAGGAGGTGCGTGCATAGCAAAGAGGCTGTGGATAATGACTGACGATGGAGTCGGAGTTGGGAAGTGAGGATATGGATGTGTGGAGGGTGCCAGAAAGGAGAGAGAGGCAGCTGATCCAAAGAGCAGCGTTGTGAGATAGCTCCCTTGAACAAATGAAGTTGGAGCTGGGATATGAGAGATAAGTAGAAGTTAGCCAAGTGAAAGAAGATGTGCTGGGAGAAAGTCCCAGGCACAAGAACAGGCTGTGCAAAGGCCTGGAGATGGGAGAGCACACTGTGGGTGAAGGATGGTGGGACTAAACATTGGAGTCAGAAGTAGAAGTGCCCACAAATGTAGACCAGGGCTCAGCAAACTTCTATAAAAGACTAGGTAGCAAATGTTTTAGGCTCTGCAGAACACAGGGTCTCTGTCTCAACTACTCAACTCTGTCATTGTAGTGTGACAGCAGTCATTAATAATAATCAAATGAACATGCTGTGTTCCAAGAAACTTTACTTATGGACACTGAAATGTGAATTTCACATAATTTTCAGATGCCATGAAATATTTTTTTTAAAGTATTTTTCAACTACTCTTAACTTGTGGGCCATACAAAACGAGGCAGCCAGCCAGATTTGGCCCACAGGCCACAGACTGCTGTCCCCTGGCCTAGAGGGATCTACAGGGCCACATCAGAGAGAACTGCGTATACCTCGTCACGTGGTTTCAGTTTTACCCTAATGGCAAGGGGAATTCTCTGAAGAGTCGGAGTAGAAGGACTAATGTGATCAGATGCTATTTTTGGAAGATCACTCTGGCTGGAGTATAGAGAATAGATAAAAAGGGGCCAGAAGGGACACAGGGAGGCTGATTAAGAGGCAACAGTTATAATCTGGGAATGGGAAGCTAGTGGTATAGACTATCATGGTATGTACAGAAAGAAAAAATTGGACGGATGTAAAAAAGATTTAGGACACAGAATTGACAGAAGTCAACAAGTGACTGAATTGGCAAAAGTTGGGGGTGATAGGGAAGGATTAACCAAAGATGACAGCAGGCTACCACCCTAAACAACAGGTATGTGATGCTGCAATCCTCTGAGAGTGGGGGCATAGAGGAAAGGAATGATGTGGAGCTGGGTTCTGGACATGATGAATTTGAGGGATCTGTAGGGCAACCACGTGGAAATTCCTGCAGAGAGCAGGAATATAAGGAATATACAGGTATGTAGAGGAGTAGGGACAGTGAAAAAGCTGCTTTGCAGAATGGGAGAACCGACTGGAAAACGGAGAATGAACTAAGCAGCACTGAAAACTCAGCTCAAGCTGGAGCTAATAAATGAGGTACCAATTTTCCTTTTCCGTTTCTTTGTTTGGGGGAGGGCTTCTTCCCCTTCTAGAATGTAAAGCTCACTGAGGGCAGGGCTTTTTGTTAATTTTGATCACTGCTATATCCCAAGCACCTGGAACAATGCCATGCACATGGCATAGAGGCATAAGTTTTGTGGCAAAACCAAGGCTAGGCTCTAATATTCTTATCTCTTTAGTCAAAATATAACCCTGGTGCAAAGCATTAAAACAAAACACCCACTTTAACATTTCTACCTTATGCCAATTCTGATTTTACAAATATTATGACTTCATTTATAACTTAGTTTCTTTAAAAATTCTTCAAATATTATTAGACTTAGGGAAAGGAGTCATTGGTTTTATTTGATTTTTAAAGCAATGCATTTTCCCTGAGGAAAAATAGAAAGAAATTTGGATTGTCCATAATCCCTGAATTTTAGTATCTTACCGCATTTTTATCTGTCCTTCTCTTAAGCATGTGGGGGACACAGCTACCTACATCTCCAGCCCTCAGCTGCTCACAGACACCAGACTCACAAATCCTACTGACAACTTGGCACTTTCCCTTGCATGTCTAATAAACAATACACACCCACTATGCTCAAGTTGAAGTCCTGATCTCCCTCTTGCCACTGTCTTTCCCTCACTCCCACATCTAATCCCCTAGCAGGCTTTCTATCACACTTAGCATGAAGTTCAAACTCCTTATAGGAGCTCTTTATGACCTGGCCCAGCTTTGTGCCCCTTGCCCGCTGTGCTCTAGCCACCTTAGGAAACCCTCTGTTCCTTCTGCCTGGAACTGCCCTCCCCAGCCACTGCGCAGCAGGTTCCTTCCTGTCATTCGGATGGCCCCTCCAACAACCCATCTCAGAAAGGCCTTTCTGACCAAACACACCCCAGAAACGACCTAATTACTCTTCATAACTCAGCCTATTTTAATGATCATGGTATTTATTAATTGATTTTATTTTCTCTCTTCCTACCAGAATAAAGATTCTTGTGAAGAATAACCATGCCTGTATGGTTCTATTCAGTGGTAAATAGTGGCTGCCATAGAACAGACCCTCACATTTGATGAATTAATATAACAGAGGCAGTCTATGAAGCGGATAAGAGGTGGAGACTGTGCAGCCACAGTGCCCGGGCTCCTGGCCCCATCCGGACCAGCTGTGCATTTGGGTGGGCACTCAACCATCAATCACACAGCTGTGTCCTCATCTGTAAAATATGGGAAATAACAGCACCTACCTCAGAGGTTGTTACAGGATTAAATGAGTTAATATGTATGATAAACAGAATAGTACTTCACACGTAGAAAAGGGTGCATGAAAATATTAGCTGTTATTAGCATTAAAGTATCTAAAATATATATATGCCATTTCCCATTTTATAACAACATTTCCACTGCTGTACTTATTTACATTTCAGGAACATTTTCTTCTTGATACCTAATATTCACCACAGTATATACTGTAATTCAATATATTATTTTAATATTAGAGTTTTTCTTGCTTTTAATGTTCGTCAATATTATACATATTGCTACTCTACAGTTCTGATTATTTCCTCAAGAGAGACTCCTGGAAGTGGAAATTACTGGATCAGAGGGATGAACCTATTTGACAACTCCTGACCCAAAAAACTGGCGTGTATTTCCACACCACACGCAAGGATGGAAGAGCTCCATCCCGCCAGGCTCACTCACATGGTTGTTTTCAAAAACAGCGATTTTATAGCAGAAAAAAAGTACTGCATTGCTGTTGTAATTTATTCTTAGTAAGACTGACTATTTAAATATGTTTATTGTGAGTTATTATCAACTGTCTTTTACCTATTTTTTTTCTGAGTGTATTTCCTATTAACTTTTAATATATCTTTAAACATTAAGGAGAGAAAACTTTTGTCTTGTGTTTTAAGTGAGGAGACTGAAGCTTAGAAAGGCTGAGTAACCTGCAAAGGTTACAAAATGAAACTAGCATCTGAAGTGGAAGTACTTAAGCTTATTTTTCTACACAAAACCTAGAATAAATCTGCATTCAAATCATTCTTTGCCCACATCCTCCCAAACCAGACAAGAATATTAGCATGCTTTTGCATTCCCCTCTTCACCCTCATATGTTGAGTCCATTTGGCCCTTTTTGTTTGTTTGTTTTTCAAGTATTTTTTTTAATAAATAAACTTTTTATTTTGAAATAATTTTAGATTTACAGATAAGGTGCAAAATAGTAAAGAGTTCCCATTTATCTCTCACTTACTTTTTGCTTCCTCCAAATGTTATTATCTTACATTGTTGTTATAAATTTGTCAAAACTAAGAAACCAACACTGGTACATTACTATTAACCAAACTCTAGACTTTATTTGGAATGCACCAGTTTTTCCTTTAATGTCCTTTTTTCTGTTCTAGGATCCAGACCAGGGCACCACTGTATTTAGATGTTATGTCTCCTTGGTCTCCTGAGACAGTTTCTCAGTCTTTCTTGTTTTTGATGATCTTGACTGTTATGAGGAGTACTGGTCAGGCATTTTATAGAATGCTCCTCAACTTGGGTTTGTCTAAAGTTTTTCTCATGATCAGTTTGGGGTTCTAGGTTCTTAGAAGCCCATAGAGGTGAAGTGCCCTTCTTGTTACATCATATCAGGGGTGCAGGACAACACTGGTGATGTTAACCTTTATTACTTGGCTTAAGGTGGTGTTTTTCAGGTTTCTCTATTGAAAAGTTAGTTTTTCTTTTTCCATACTAATTTTTCTGGAAGTGAGTCATCTAGCTCCACCTTTTGGAAAAGGGAGTATCTACAAAAGTTATTTAGAATTCTGTAAGGAAGATATCTCTTTCCCCCTATGTAAATCTATCTCATCTTATCTAATCAAATTGACCTATCCACTCATTTATTATTATTTACCTATTTATTTACTCACTCATTTATTTATATCAATATGGATTCATGGATATTTTATGCTTGGGGTTATAATCCAGTCCTATGTTATTTATTTTGTTGCTCAAGTTGTTCCAGCTTTGCCACTGGCAGCTCTTTCAGGCTGTTTCCCTTTGACATATCCCCATCCTTTTGTTGTTTGACTATTTCCTTACTTTCTGGAGCTATAAGATGCTCCAGGCTCCTCTATTTCCTGTCCCAGCACTAAGGTCTGGGAGCTGGGTGTGCTTGCTACTCTTGGGATGTCACTGCTCCCGGGCCCTCTCAGGAGACAGAGCTAGAGAATACATGTATGTTTACCATGTATATACCCTTTGACTTTTTAATCCCAAATTGCTATTAATTTCTTTTTTATTATGTGTGTCATCAACAACTGTTAAACAAAACTTTTACTGGGTTTTTGCTGTTGATCACTCTTATTCTCAGGTCTTCCTCTTTTAATGTATTCATTTCTTATTCTGCTGAACTAGAAAAGGTCTGTGAGAAATAAACTTTTGAGTCCTTGAATGTTAAAAAATGTCTCTTTTACCCTCAAATAGTAGGTCAAATTTAACTTCTAAAATCAAAATTATTTTTCTTCAGAGTGTTTAAAGTATTGTGTTATTGTTTCCTAGCACCAACATTATCAAGAAGAAGCCAAATGCCAATCTGATTCTTAATCCTTTACAGACAAGCTAGGTTTTGCTATTTTTGGTATCTCTGGAAGCTATTAGGATTGTCCCTTAACTGCTGTTCTCAAATGCCAGAAGACTTGTCTTTCTTTAGTTCTTTGAAGTTTTCTTCCATTTCCTTGCCTCTCCAATCTGTTCTCTTTTTTCTCCCTTCTAGAACTCCTATCAAACAATTGGGAGCTTCTGGACTGATTTCCCATGTCTCAATTTTTCTCTCACATTCTCTCTTGGTCTTTATGCACCCAGTTGGCTTATCTTCTAGTTTACAAATCTGTTTCAGTTGTGACCGTTCTTCTATTCAGCCCATTTACTGAGTTTTATATTTTCACAATTTCCAAGTTCTGACTCTTTTTTAACAACACATATTGTTTTATGAATTTAATGTTTTCTCTAATCTCCCTAAAGGTATATTTATTGTAAAGTTGTTTTCTATCTGTATTCATATTATCATGTGTTGATTTTTCTGTTTATTAAAATGTGGTGCCTCTCTTTCATAGTGTTGGTTTCCTTCAAATGTTTGGCTAGTTTTGGTTAACTGCTACTCATTTTTGTTTCAAAAATCACTGTTCAAAAATCCATGGCTGTTAACTATGATTACGGCAATAGCAGAGGAGGGGCCAAACGTGGTCTCAGGCAGAAAGTGCTAACAGCAGCTCATCCTTTGAGTCTGGGGCTCCCTATCCAACCTACAACTCAGTATTCCCAGGACCCTACCCTGACTTTCTAGCTCCAAGGACCATACACCCTGCCTCAGCCTGTGGGCCAATCCCCGTGGTACCTGTTGCTCAGCACACCCCCAGAGAAGCACATGTACTCCACCACTCTGTCTTCTCTGAGCTCAGAGGATGCAAGGCAGCCTCATCTTCAGTGTTCTCCTGAATACGTCCCAGACAGTTCTCTTCCATTAACCCTATGCCAACTATTGCCATCTTACAGAAATTTCTCAAAATTTAGATCTACAAATGGCACTTCTCTCATTTTCCAACACTAATATAACTTCTTTTTAATAATTCATTTTTACAAAGGATTTAGAGTGTCAGATAAGGCGGATGTGGTGCTTGGTTTGCCATTTAATCCCATTTGTATCCATATTCCTAAGCAGTACTGGCCTACAGAGATGGTAGAGGGGTATGTGTGTGTACATGCTCTGCCATGGGTTGGTATGAAGCTAATGCTGGCCTCATAAAATATAAGTAGATCATATGGCACTAATATTACTGTTCTTTGAAAGTTTGGAAGAACTCACCAGTAAAACATTCTATCTATGTACCTGCAGGGTAATTTTATGATAACTGTTCTAATTTTTTAAATAGCTCTTAGTCTCTTCAGAACGTCTATCTTTTATTTATAAAATACTAACATGAGCTTTTATAAAACACTAACATATACTTCGCTCACGTTACTATTTTATAAATTCTCAAGTCTTTCCTTTTATTTAGAACTTTTTATACCCATTATATAAAACTCATTTCTCTCAACGTTTTCTTGTTCTAATTTCCAATGTTGTTTTCCTTTTCACCCTAAATCTGCCCACTTTATTACAAAGAATTTTTTTGCAAATATAGAAGCAGCTCCTATATTTGTCAACCTATTATTTTTGGTTCTTTAATTTCTGCTTTTATTTCTTTCCTCAAAGTTATTTTTCATGTTTTTAACATCTTAACTTAGTTCATTTGTTCCCATTTTTTCTTAATGTTAACAATAAAGATTAGGCTAAATGCAATATACTATCCTGGACTGGACCCTGGAACAGAAAAAAGGCATTAGTAGAAAAACTGGTGAGATCCTTATAAAATCTATAGTGTAGTTAGCAGTAACTTACCAATGCTAACTTCTTAGTTTTGACAAATGTACCATGGTTATGTAAGATGTTAACATTAGGGGAAACTAGGTGAAGTATAGGAACTCTCTATACTATCTTTCCAACTTGTCTGTAAATCTAAATTATTTCAACACAGTAAGTTTATTTAAAAATTTTTAAAAATTTATGTAAGTATAACTTGGTCGATATACAGCACCTCCATGCCATGACTAAGTAATTTCCTACAGTATCTTATTCCTTCTTAGTTATTTAGTAGTTTTAATTTTAAAATTTATTTTTAGCATTACTAAAAATAAGTTGGCAGAAATGACTGTAAAATTTTCATATTCTGGAACATAAAGTTTTTCTCTGTGGCCTAAACTCCCCGCCCCACCCCCCCCCACCAGAATGACACAATTCTTCAAACAATAAATGTGAAAGCATTTGGGGATGGGGAGAGACGATGAAAATCTGTTTATAATAACTAAAGTTTTTTTACCGAAACTTTGTTTTCTACATGTGAAACACATAAAGGAACCTAGCAAGGATCTGTGAGGCCTTTTATATCTGACAGTAAGAGTCTTACCAGCTGCTGCTCCACAGGCGGTGGCACATCCTGATTGGCATAAACGATGGCAGGGTTGTAAAGACTGAACACCACAGGGTAAAACACTTTCTTACCTATAAATTAAAATATGTTTAGAAAGCACAAAGAAGCTGTAAAGTGAATGACTGATCTTTACTGCAATATCTAATAAGAGTTTATATTAAAATCTCTTTGTCACATATAATGATTTTATTCTATCAATATTCAAGCTACTGAATATCATGTTGATTTGATGAACACAATGATTTTATAACATATCAGTAGGTGACTATGAAACTATGACGCTGCAAAAGAACAGAGAAAAAAATAGACTAAAGGGTGCTTTACATGTTTATTCCTTTTGACTTTGGGGAGATGCGCAAAGGTATTCTCTCAGCTAGGTGAGCCATTTATTACTCATTATTTCACTCATTAGCAGTCATAGATGTAGGTTAACTTCTGACAATCACCAAGAAACTTAGAAACTTCTGTTAAATACGCTCTTCAAAATGAATCATACAAACAGTAAATCCAAAGAATACTGTACAATGGATATATATAATCAAAATATAGAACTGTAGACAGATTTGAACAAGATCTGGAAAAGTTGGAAGATTAAGAGTTAAAAATACTTGACAGAAGGCCTACAGAAGGCCTTGTCGTTGGCATTCAAATTGTTAGTACTGAAGGTCCCTCAAAGGTTAACTTGCTGGTCTCCCCTCAATAGAGAACCCTTTGCTAAGACTAGCCTCAACCAGAAGTGATCATATGAAATGCTCAGTAATTGTCAAGGACCTTGTAAGTAATGTGGCAGCCTTTGTATTACAAGATTCCTAGCAGATGCTCATCTCACCTTCGTTAAAACTCACTTAAGGATGGGGAACTCAATTTCTGAGAGATCTATTTCTGGATATAAAAATATTTCTTTTACATTGAGCAAATATGTCTCCTTCAACTTCCACGTTCTGAACTTCATGCTGTCTGCTGTAACAAAGTAAACTTAACCCTCATTTACTCACTAGGCTCTCAGAGAGTTCCTGACAATTATTCCTAACCAAACTGAATAATAAGAATGTAATAATTTGCATGATATGAATAGTTCTACATAAAAAAGATTTACTATGAGATTTTTCAATACAGAAAAACTTTCTTTTCACCTTTAAAATAAGATTTGATTTATAAAAATGTCATTTGCTCTTACATTTTCAAAAATTATCTACAACACAAAGCAAAGTATAGCAAGTCATCCCAAAATGCATAGTCTGGAGACCAAGCACTATCTGTAATGTAGACCTCTGTGTGCGTGCCTGTGTGTGTGCCGGCTCCATCCGCCTGAGGTAGAGTGCTTCTGACTCTCACACATCTCCACACTGTCTGCTTGGCTCTTTTTCTGATGGGGTGCTGCTTCCTCCTTGTCAGCTGCAAGGCTTTTTATTTCTTTGGGTTTGTTTATTTGCATTCAAACGTAGACATTGGAATTTGGCAACAAGAGAACAAGGGGTATGAACTTCAGAGGGGCAAATTTTCACTTTTCTACTTAATATTCCAGTTAAACTATGCCTACTATAACTTTAAAAAAATACCATTAACTTGACTCAAAATATGGGACATGCTGACAGTTTTCTAAATTCTATGCTCAGCTCATCTACCAACATTTTACGCACCTGGCTCAGCATTTAACCGGCAGCTGTTAAGGAATTCGGCTGAGAAATATATATCAACATCACAGAAAAACATCAAGACCTCTCCCTTGTCCCAAGCTCGGGCACCCACGTTTAGTCCTCGTCCACGGTTAAATTCTTCATTCAATGAGACCAAGGTGTAATTGTGAAAATTAGACTCACTATGAGGAAAGAACATACAACACATGATAATAAGTGCCACTTAAAGATTAACAACTCTCTTCCTTCAACACAACTTACAAAATATGTTTAAAGTTCGGATATTTTATTATGTTGGTTCTACATTCACACAAGGAAACGAAACCATCAGTTTCATGTGTATGATTGTCATCAGGGACACATATTCACTAAATGCCCACATTTGAGGCAACACGCTGGTTGTATAAGGTTAATAAGTGTTGAGGGGCCACTGGTCTTCAAGATCTTAAAAAACTATTGGGGAGAAAAGAAATATACATATGGAAAAATAGCCATAATGTCTGGTAATAAATAATGCATTTCACATGAATGATACATACAAAGAGCACTCTTCTCTAGAGTTCTTCAGATCTTTGCTCAAATGTCCTCTTATCAGAGGGATCTCCCTCATACCATACATGGAGCAGCCCCGACTTCCCTCTCTTTAATCTCTATCCCCTTGCCTAGCTTTGTTTTCCTCAGTACCACCAGATCTCTTTGTTTGAGTGTCTCTCCCACTGGAATGTAAGCCCCATGAGAGCAGAGATGCTGTTTTGTTCATTACTGTGGACACAGTGCTCGTGATAAAGTAGGAGTTCAGTAAATATTTGCTGAATGAATGAATAAACAGCAGTTCTGAGGAAAAAAGGTTGCTTTTATCTGGAGTAGTTAGAGAAGACGTTAGAAGTGGAATTAAGTTATGCCTTGGTTAAAGTCCTGAATTCAGTGGTGAGTGTAAACGTCATTCCAATTAATTATTCTCAACAGCAAAGAGGTAAGAAGGTAGAAAGCATTTTGGAGAACAGGGATCAAACAAATCAGATTGGAACAGAGGGATCCTAAAATGGGAAGAATGAGAGAAGACCATAAAAGTGTCAGACTGAGGATCATCTTCCATGAGAAGTTAAAGAAGCTGGTCAGTGTCCTAAAAGCAAGGAAGAGTCAGGGTTTTCCTGCCAGGGCAGTGGTTCTCACAGTGAAGTCCTTGCATCCACAGCATCAGCTTCCCTTGGGAACATGTTAGAAATGCAAATCCTTGGGCCCCACCCAACCCCTGAATCAGATACTAGGGGTGGAACTGAGCATTTGTCTCTCTCTTGGGACAAGTCACTTGAGGTGACTCTGATGTTAAAGCTGGAGAACCGCTGCACTAGGGTATAGCTGGATCAAAAAAAGGAACATTTTAGAAGATTACTCCTCTAATAGTATAGAATGGCAAGTAGAGAGAAGAGAAGGCTCAAATAGTGCATGGAGTAGACTCCAAAGGCTGTGGGTGCCCACACTCCCCCTCTTACAGGATATAAATCTCTCTCTTCTTTTGGGGAAACTGCCAATCACCATCTCACACTCCCAGCACCAAGTGGAGGAATAATCACAGAATACCCCAACCACAGTAATTTCCTAGGGGCGGGGACCAGACTCCAACTGGGCCAATCACAGTACTCCCACCCCACCTGGCCAGGATCACTGGCTTAAGGGTGGGCAAAAGTCCTTCCTGGGATTTTCTCAACTGGATGTGGGAGAAAGCTCTTTCCTCTCTGATGGCAAAGCTAAGAAGATGCAAAGCCCAGAGACGCCAACAGCCATATATCTCATGTGTGGAAGAAGTCAATCTGCAACAGGAGAATGAAGTCAACATGCAGAGAAAAACAGAAAAGAAGAAAACGAGAATTTTGATGGTATTCAAGTGTTTGGTTTCAGTCCCTAAGATACAAAGCCGTTTTGGTTTTCTTCCCCAAATTTGGTTGTAGTAATCCCTTTAGTTTTAGGAGTTATCCGAGATTCTTCAATAATGCTCCCATTTTCCTTAAGCAAATTCAAGATAGGTTTCCATCATTTGCCACAGAGGAGTCTTGATTATTGCAGGGAGAACCTCAGTAATACTAATGTGTGTGCTTGGCACTTAGTAGGTGACCCAAAAATGGTAAAAAGGGAAGAGAAGAAAGGATGAAAAGGAGGGAGGAGGAACCTGGGTTAGGGTGGTGGCAGCAGCAAGCAACAGACAGAAAAGAGGTCCCATGTAGAAAGCAGGAACTGACTAATCAGGGGTAAAGAATGAGGGAAAGGTGCTGGCTGTCAGTCATCAAGTCCAGGGGATCACGAGAACAGTCTTAGTCTGAACAGAAAGAGAGCCATCAGGAGGAGGAGCTAGTGTAGGGGGAGGAGAAGACAATGTTTGTTTCTTATACACCGGTGCTCTGAGAGTCCCTTTGGAGTAGGGACTGCAACTCCCTCCTCTGTGCCCAGTCCTATTTCAACCACCCCAGTCAGACTCCCGAGCAGTGTACCTGGAACAGAGTCGGTGGGACTCGAATGTTAGTTGAACGATTCGAGAAGAATGGCCGGCCAAATCTGGACTCTTAGGGAATGGCCACAACTAGCAGAAAGGTAAAGAAGCAAGTAAAGGATACAGAGTTGGTGTGGTCAGAAAAGACAATCAACCTAATATCTTACATCATAACATATTTACATTTACAAAATATTTATATTATACAAACATCAGAGTAAAGTTTCAAGAAGTAAATACCGGTTAGGTGTCAAATGTAAAAAAGTGATCAAAGAGGATGACAGAGAAAAGGCTGTCAGTTAGTCGGTTAGATCAAAACTTTGGGTCCATAACTTAGAGATGAAAAAGGCTGAGAAGCTAGAGAATTAATAATGGAGTATTAAGGAATTACTAATTCATTCATTCAAACCTCTGAGCACCTACTATCTGCCAGGTACTACGTGAGTTGCTTAGTTAGAGAACTACTGTTCTGTGAAGTTTAGCTGTGAAAGGACAGAAACCTAACAGTAGCTACTGGGTACTGTAGAGTCAGGTGAGGGGTTCTTTAGGATAGGGGAGACCTAAGCAACATCTGCAGGGCAAGAAGAAGGAATTTGGGGAAACAGAAGGAAAGAAAGGTGACAAGAGACAAGCTCAGGAGATGATATCAAAGTGAAGGCATTAGATTTAGAAAAAGGGAAAGAGTTCAACAGAATGAAGAAATGGAGGCAAATACACAGAAGGTGAGAGGGCTGCAGAGCGAGCATCCTGATCATGCCAGGCTGTCTGCTAAGAGTTAAGGGAAGACAAGTCATTTAGAGTTGCATGAATGAGCCTAGCGGTGAAACGAACTTATGATGACCACCGCTCACATGCTCAGCCAACTTTTAAACAGCAGCTACTCAAAATTATTAACTCATTAAATATCTGCAATTGTAATTCTTCTAATGTTATGTATTAAGGACTTCAATGTTGACATGGTTCACCAACCTTGTGACAGATTCTAGGATATACTTCACTTTAGATAGTCCTTCTTTACCAAAATACACCACTGTGAGATGAATTCTCTTGTCTTGATGAATACATACATCCCTAATAGAATTGAAAAACAAAGTTCATTCAAGAAAATACATAAAGCACTACTCATTCAGAAAGCAATCACATGAAGCTTTAACAAGAAAATGAATGAGACATTACTCATTTAGAATGAAATCACATGAAGCTTTAAATAAATACAGAAGAGGCAATATTGCTGAGTTGTTAAAGGCATCACATAAACACATAATGCATGTGTTTAAATGAATGCAACCATTGTAGGGCCATGGAAGCAGTCCAAGAAGTTTCAAAACATTTTTGGAACTTTTGCTTTGGTATTGCCTTCAGAAACAAATTATAAGCTACTCAAGGAAATAGGCACAATCAGTTCAAAACCAAATAAATAAATATTCAAGTTTTGGGTCAAGAGTTATTTTGTCTTCAGACTCGCTAATTCCAGAAATCATAACTATCATCAAGGAATAAATATTTGCCACAAGTGAGGTTACTTAGTATTAAAGAATAATGTAGCATCTGAAGGCAATTCCAAGAAAGGCAATAAAAAAATGCTTTAGGAAATCAGATCTCAAGTGAGCTATTTCAAAAAGGCAAAACTCATTTGGAGACATGACTTCTAGATAGTCTGCTACAGAATAGTGTTAACTAACTTGTAAATCCAACAATTTTAACATGAGAATAAAGACTGGGGTTACAAAGCATTAAAACTAGCAGATCCAAGTATTAAAAACATGGCAATTGTTAAATTAAAACAAAAAAGCAAAACTTCCCTCAGTCACCCTAATATATAATTGTTAATTCTTTAACACTTTAGCATTTTAAAATATCCAAATTTAATGACCAAAAAAAGGGAAAAAATTCTTTTAAAAATCGTTAAGTCTCTGCTTCCCAAGATGGAATAACTCTCATTTTTAGTTGAACGTTTGTATTTCTAAAATCTATTTTAATTTTAAAATCCAAATTGTTCTCAAGAGAATTTTCTGGGGAGACAGCTATTTTCCATATCTTGATTGGGGAGGCAGTTACATGAGTACATACATTTCTCAAACAATATGAAACCTCTATCCTGAGAATATGTGGATTTTACTGTATGTAAATTATGCCTCAATAAAATTTTTTTTTTTTTGAGGAAGATTAGCCCTGAGCTAACATCTGCCGCCAATCCTCCTCTTTTTGCTGACGAAGACTGGCCCTCAGCTAACATGCCTGCCCATCTACCTCTGCTTTATATATGGGATGCCTATCACAGCATGGCTTGCCAAGTGGTGCCATGTCCGCACCTGGGATCCGAACTGGCAAACCTTGGGTCACCGAAACGGAATGTGCAAACTTAACCGCTGCGCCACTGGGCCGGCCCCTCAATAAAATTATTTTTAAAAATTCAACTTGTCCTAAAATGAATTCATACACAATTATAAAGGTCACCAAATTTAGTTTCTAATAGTTGTCACCTTCAATTTACTTAATAGTTCAAATAATCAGTAACACAATATACTGTACATGCTTTAAGAAAAAAGAGACTACCAAAAAAATAAAGTTCCCCAAAGCCTATAAAATTATTCTGTAATTCTAAGTAATCATACTCAGTGAAGATAAACTAAATAAACCCACATGAATGTGATTGTTTTAGGAGTGCTTAGCTAAATCATTAAGCCCTGAGAGTTACCTGAAGTTCTGCATAAACTGTGCAAAGGCTTCAGTTCTTTCTGCAAGTGGCACAATGATATTAATAATTGATCTCGTAATGTCAATCATCTCGCTCTTCACTTTCATTAGAGGTCCAAAAGGGCGGAAGAGGGTCACGTGTCTATATTCCATAAGGTCTGCTTTCTTAAAAAAAAGTTCATACTGCGTGCCCTTATCTCTCTCGGTGCGATAATAACCTAAAGGAAAGAGTTAGGGACAAAGATGTCTCCATGGCAAAGATTACAAATTCAATGTGAATAATGATTTTACTTGATTCAAAGTATGAAACCGGACTTGTAGTGTTTTTATTTATTTGTGAAAATATTTATCCCCACTGTACAGTCAGTAACAACTACTTCTTGAAAAGGAGAGGTTAAAAAAATGTTCACTGCTCTGCTATATTAATATTCAATCCATAAAGTATGCTCCAAATGACAATTATTCCTTTTTACATATGACTTTTTTTAATAGTAGGGCCTATCAATACTGTAACCATAGGACGAAAATAAATAAATAATTTCTGGCAATATTAAATTCTAGACCTGAGAGTAAAAACTTCTGTTGCTTGGTTCAGCTCAACAAAAATTAACTGAGTGCCTTTGTGTCAGTCACTGGTGGTATAAAGAGGGCTACAGAGTCCCAGTTTTGAGGAAGGGTCAGTCGAGTGAGGGAGACAGAAAAATAAAGAAATAATGCAGTGATACACACACACATACTGACTAGAGTGAATTCAGACCAAAAAAATTAGTATAGATTTAAACACAGTAATCTGAGATGTCTTTGAGAGAAAAGTATGGAAGTTTGCAGAAAAATTAGAAGAGTTTTGAGAGAAACAATCCATCAAAAATTACAGGAAGTGACAGCAGAAAAAAGAGGTGGCTACAGAGAAAAGACAGCTGAAATGCCACAGAAAAGCACAATGCCCTCCCTGATGGCCTCCAAAGGCCTCAAGGTATTATATTATAGTACAGCAAGTGATATCCAAGATCATTTTGGGTCAAAAAATCTACATGTGGTATATTGTTTATAGAATCAAGCAAAGAGAACTTTCAAGAAAGATTTATATCCAAAATGGTTTTAAGCTGTAATTAAACATCTAGCAGGGGGTATTAAGATGGAGATGGGTGGGGATCTACAATTATTCCCATTTATATCAATCAGTAATATCTTAAATTTATAGAAGTGTTCCTCAATTTTTGAGTCATGTCCCATCTTGATATATAAAAATCCCATGCCCTTTCTACAGTCTATCTTAGGAAAACAAGTTTATTTCTTTACTTTTTTCAAATGTCAAATATGCTTTTGAAACTACGTATGCCTCCCTAACCTTTTCGTGTGCTTCTCTTCCCCTCAAAATAGAGAATAACCCTAATCTACTAAATTAGGTTCTTTGTCTTTCCTTTATCAAATAGTTTTTCAAATCTTGACACATTTTTAAAAATATAAAAAAAGAACATCAAGATCAGTTAAGAGAGGAACGCAAATATATACGCATGCACACACAGCCCTAAGAGCCCTTCAACTTGAGTAGTATTCTATATAAGCTTATTCTATTTCCTTGGTCCTTATTCTCTATTTTATTATGATCACTTTGTAACTTTTTCTAAAAAGCCACTTCAAATTTGTGGTGGAATGAAGTGGATAAAAACATAAATGTTTTAATATCGTGGACAATGACTGACTTATATTACCAAGATACAATAATAGCATTTTGTCACACTAACATAACTATGGACCAACACATTTTTCATTACCTTCTATGAAGTCATTTTCATTAAATATCAGCTTCTCTCCGAGGGGACCATCCTCATCTTCCTGTTCATCATCTTCATCAGGATTATTAATGACCTCCAAGCCAGCTTCAATAACTTCTACCAATTCATCTCGCTTGTCTTTTCTAACTGGCTTTTCCTCAGGATGGCGAGTGAGACCCATTTCCAACTGGAATACTTTCATTAAGGTAAAACTTTCAAAGGGAATGACTCCATACTCACTGGGTAGTTTGGCTCCGATGCTAACTTCAGCTTTGTCAATTTGGGAATGAAGAAACTCTAAAAGATCGCTAGGTGCTTGTTCTTTGTTGCCTTGATAGGCTATGCCGTTACCCCCTACATTCTTTCTCTCTTGCAGTGACCTCATCTTCTCACTCATTTCTTGTAATTCTTGTTTTAGTTGGGCAATCTGGCGTTTCAGACTGGTTGCCCTGGTTTGATAATGTTCTTCTTGCTCCTGTAGGAGGGCTTGATAATACTCTTTACCATAATTTTCCCCAATGACACCAGGAAGAGATGCATTCCCATCAGTCTGAGGGGCACATTCCAGAAGGTACAAAAATAATACCAAACTGCAGAGTAAAGCGAGACCCAACAGTAGCCAATGGGTCCGGGTCTGAAGAATCAATCCTCTTCTAGGCATTCTAATAAAAGTGGACTTGCCTAATGAGGTAAGTTCTTTGCTTGCTCATACCTTTAACAAAAGGTTATCAAAAATTAAAAATAAAATCAGGATTTCCATAAAAGGTACCAACAAGAATTCTGCTGTAGCTTAAAAAATTTCTTCCTTCAGCAGTGAAGACTACTTGCAGAAATAAATAATGCGTACTTCCTGTATTGTTACCACGATATCCGGAATAAAGAAATCTGATCTATAGAATCAGATAAAATTCCATTATATGGGTGGTGACTTTTCTGAAAGAAACAGATCAGAATCAATCAGAACTTTGTTTCTTTAAGTACATCAAATTGTTAGCAGCTTCAGTACACTTAGCTATGTGACTATTACATGTAGAGCACCATGAGAGGTGCTAATATAGAATATTCAGTAAATGCAGGGAGAAGGTATGAGGAAAAATATCTTACAAAACACTAAAATATGATAATGTAATACTTTAACTGGAATGTCTACACATCTATAACCTATTGAATGAGTCAAAGAAATATTAAAATTATGTTTAGCATAGTTTGTGTTACATAGATTCTACTGTTCTCTAATTATTTGAAAATTATATCACTTACATCTCTTTATTAACATAATATTTCAATTAACACACCATTTCCCACGTACAGCATATCGCCATTTGGGAAGTGAGTTTCTATAAATTATTTTTGTTATACTGATATTGGCTTACTAGAGACAGATATTTTCTTTCAGTTTATTCAATTCAAGTATTCTACTTCATTAATTTCTATGGCTCAATTCAGTCAATCTAAGAGCCTTAAAATTAAGTGGGGGGCGGGGGGACAATTTCAAAACGTCACAGACATCTGGAAAACACATTAAGAAACATTTTTATATCCAAAGTCCTCCAGTAGATTATTTGAGCATTACATCATATAATCTTTCCACCGTAATACACAGCAACAGATTTCCTCCAAGTCTGGAAAGGTTTGGAGTCTATATGAAGAAAGAATGTGAACATTTTAATGTTTATCTATAAGGAAAAATATTCAAAAACTATTTATAAATTTACAAAATTACATGCTATCATTCATAGTACAACCAGTTGTGTGAGATCTTCTGAGTTTCTTTATAAACTAAGGATCCTTAATTCTAGAAACAGAGAAGGTTAAACTTATGAGACAAGAGGCAGGGGAGGCCTCCACTGCAGAGAGAATTTCCACTCTAACGAAGTGGTTGTTAAGGATATGTGATACCACAGAAGACTTTTAATCAAGATGGTTTCTACCGGTGCAGCAGAACCTACGGAAGACGATCATGAGGGAACATCAGTCCTAGTCACTTTCTTAGTGATCAGGAAAGCCTGGATGCCTTCTATGAAAAATGCTGCAATGCGCCTTTTTTTTGGTGGCACACACCTGTATAAAATGTAGGATAGATTCAAACTTCTTACACTACAGACTAAGTTAAGTTCAAACAATGGACTTAACTACCTTTAGCTATTTTTTTTAATTTAGTTAACCAAATGATAACCAAGTATCCTGAAAAATTTAATTCACCACAAGGAAGGTTTTCTATGATGGTATCTGTTTTACTGACTGTAAATCTTGTTTTATTTTAAGTGATATAGAAAAAAATGTTGGTATTAAGAAAACTATCTAATTAAAAATTAAAGATGCAGGGGCTGGCCCCGTGGCCGAGTTGTTAAGTTCTCGCGCTCTGCAGCAGGCGGCCCGGTGTTTCGTTGGTTCGAATCCTGGGCGCAGACATGGCACTGCTCATCAAACCACGCTGAGGCAGCGTCCCACATGCCACAACTAGAAGGACCCACAATGAAGAATATACAACTATGTACAGGGGGGCTTTGGGGAGAAAAAGGAAAAAAAAATTAAAGATGCAAAGCTAATATTAGTTCCAGGACTTTACCATGCTTCAACACCATAACTCTTAGTGTAAGAAACCACTTCATTACTTAAAGATAAAACTTTGAGGTATCTCTTTTTAACTATTTATAAGTTATTACCAGCCCAATTATTAGGGAAAAGAAAGACTAAAACTGAGAATGTGGAGACATAATCTTATATAAATTATTAATAAAATTATACATATTTAACTATACTATATTCAAACTGTTTTGAAGTGAAACTTGATAACAGAACTAACAGTATGTAATCTAAGTACCTCTAGCTTTTATTAATAAGGTACCTCACTGTTTTTTCTTTATATAGACAAAATATTTTAAACTGTGAGATATGATGACCCATTAATGGGTCACTAACAAAGGTTTATTTTTCAGTGAAATAGAACAGGAAGCATCAGTGTATACCACATATAGTAGTAAACTTATATATATATATATATATATATATGTATATGTATATGTATGTGTATGAGAACTCCACATAAGATGTATTTATAAGGGGGTTATGGTCCCAAAATTCTGAAAAATACTGATTTATAAAGTATTTTTACATATTTTCCATGCTATCTTTTCAGAATAGTGTTGATATTATCTTCATTTTGTAGAGGAAAAATAGGCTCAGAAACGTAAAAATTTAAATAAGGTTATATAACTATTAAGCAGTAGCATTAAAGCCAAGGTCTTCTTTCTCCCTCTTTTAAGCAAAATATAGGTTTTGAGATATCTTACATATTTATCTTACAGTTGAATATCTTACAGTTAAATATTATCCACTGAAATGAAAGAAAAGCTGCAGTAATTACTTTAGAACATAAATGTTAGTTGCATAGTTCTGTGGTTATTAAAAATACAAGATTACAATTAAAGTCTTACTTGTCTAGTTCCTGAAGGAACTCTTTAGCCACGTCGTAGAACATTAGATTATAACAACTCTAAATATGTTAAGAATATTAGAAAAAAACATCCATTTTCTGCTGTTACACTTAACTGCCATCATTCTATGTAATGTGTTTGTATCATAAACAAGGTTCATTCATAATCCAGAGTTAATCCCAAGCAAACTTCCAAGGATAAACAGCAGAGTTAAGTGTTCTGAGGAGAGAATGGGATGCTGTGAAGATGGGAAAATGAGCTGTTAAAGATATGTAATACAAATCAAAGATCTCAGAGTTGAAAGAAACCTTAGGAGCCATCAATTCCTACTCTTTAAAAATCAGACTAAAGAGACTTCCTCTTATAGCCAAGATGGAATAACAGGGACCAGATTTACTCTCGAACTTGAAACAACCAAAAACAAACAAACGAAATCCGAAAAAAAAAAAAACCCACTCCAAAATATGAAACAGTGGTTTTCAAGATACTGAACATTAGGTAATAAAGGACAGGGATCCCTGGGAAAACAAGAAACAAATAACCGCCCAGCTCACTGCCTTAGTTTCCAGGCCACAACACAGGAAGTTCCCTCCTAAGGAATGCCCAGCTGATTCCCTGAGTAGATGAGATGGAGCTGACAGCCTGAGGAGACCAAGGCAGCTAGGTTCAAAGGATACAGTACCAGAGGAGAGACCTGCAGAGAGAGATCTGAAGAGTTTGCTCTGAGTATTCAGCAGAGTGCTGATCAGTACAGGCATATGAAGAAACTAACTAAGGCTAAGGAAAGAACCACACAAAAAATTAGAAGACAGAACTCAGCATTCATTCAGAGCCAGAAGCAGTACATGTTCCCACCAGACAGACTGGAAAACCTCAAAATTCATGGGGCATTGGAGAGGGTATTCAAAAAGGTCCTGCCTCAGCAGTGGGAAATAATTAGCTCTAGACTAAACATGGCTCTGGTCCTGTCTAACAAATCTTAAAAGCAAGACCTGAAAGGATCAAACTTTTTCCAAATAACTGCACAACAAGCCTCAAAAATATTTACAGGAATATAAAAATATTCAGTACCCAGGAAAGTAAAATTCACAATGCCTGACATCCAAACAAAAATGATCAGGCATACAAAGAAAAAGAAAAATACACCATTAATGAGAAAAATCAACAATTGAAACTGACAAAGACACTGGAATTCACAGAAAAGAATATTAAAACAGTTATTATAATTATATTTAAAAAGATGTTCACATTCAAAAAACTAAGTAGAGACACGGATGACATAAAAAAGATTCAAACTGAACTTTAGGAGATGAAAGCTTCAATGTCTGAGATGAATACATTAAATGGGATTAACAGCAGATTAGATATTTCAGAACAAAATATTAATGAATTGAAGACAGAGCAATAGAAATTATGCAAAATGTAGAAGGAAAAAAGAATGAAAAATATGAATAGAGCAACTGGTAAGCTGTGTGACAACTTCAAGTAGCCTAATATATATGTCATTAGAGTCTCCAAAGAAGAAGGAGGGAGCTAGGAGAAATAGTTCAAGAAATAAGGCTGAAAATTTTCCACCTTGATGAAAATTATCAACATATAGAACAAAGAAGTTCAACAAATACCAAACACAAGAGCCACAAAGAGAACTAAAGCAAGGCATATGCTAATCAAACTGCTCAAATTCTATGATAAATAGAAAATCTTAAAAGTGGCCAGAGGAAAAACACATAACACATACAAAAAACAAGGAGAGTAGAGCAATATCTTTACAGAACTAAAAAGAAAAATATATCAACCTAGAATTCTATACTCAGAAAAAGTATCTTTCAAGAATAAAGGCAAAATACTTTTTCTAGACATTCAAAAGCTAAAAGAATGCATCACCATCAGATCTGCACTACAAGTCCTTTAGGCAGAAAGAAATGATACCAGATGGAAATATGGATCTACACAAAGCAATGAAGAAACCAGAAATGATAACTACGTGGATAATTACAAGATTTTTATTATTTAAATCCCCAAGATACAACAAATAAATTGGACTTAATTAACATTAAAACTTTTGTGCTGCAAAGGATGTCATCAAGAAGTGAAAAGGCAACAACAGAATGGGAGAAAATATTTCTAGATCATACATCTGATAGAATACGTGTGTAGAATGCATAAAGAACTCTTACAACCCAATATTAAAAAGATAAATAACCTAGTGGGTGGGCAAAAGATCTGAATAGACATTTCTCTAAAGAAGATTAAGAATGGCCTATAAACACATGAAAAGATGCTCAATATCATTAGCCAACAGGGAAATTCAAATCAAAACCACAATGAGATACCGCTTCACATCCACTAGAATATAATTCAAAACGAATCATAGATTTAAATGAAAAACCTAAAACTATAAAACTAGAAGAAAGCATAGGAGAAAACCTTTGTGACCTTGAGTTAGGCAAAGATTTCTCTGATATGACACGAACAGCATAATTGATAAAGTAGAGT